CAAATACATTCTTTTTTAATGCAATGCTCCTTGACATCAAACATAAATTATGAAGAGGTTCTTCACAAAAAGCTTCCCTCTGGACGAATCTTCAGGTCCTGCTAGAAGCCTAGTCTCTTCGGAAAGAAAGTCATCTTAACAGAGGCCAAGATCCTCAAATGGTCTTTCCTGTACCAAGCTACACTCCTGCCCAATATAAAACTGGGACCTAGAAAACAGTTCTGGTTTATCCTGGTACCCTTTTGGAGGGGGGGGGGGGAAGAAGAGAGAAAAAATTGCTCAATACTACTGGCAAATGCTTTTATCTTTTACCTATGAAAAAGCAAAGACCAATGTGGTATGCAGAGACCAATGCGTAGGTATAAAATTTATGAAACTGCTGGACTGAAAAGCACACCACAGGTGTTAAGGGATAGCACTTTACAAGTATCAAATGTGAAATTATGTCAGAAGTTTGCGTCTGGAGGAAAACTGACACTCAGATCTTCTGATTTAATTTCTGAAGTGAAATTAAAATTTCTCATTTTAAGATGGAAAACGAAATAAAGCTGGAGTATTACTCTTACTACCCACCTGTAAGAATTCAACATACAGAAGTTTTTCTCCTCTGTATTTACATTCACATTGATAGAAGTTAGAAGTTGGGAAATTTCCTTTTTTTTTTTTTTTTTTTTATTTTGGACTTCAGCTTACTAGGTTGTCTTGGTCATCCAACTGTCAAGGTCAAGTCTTCAAAAGTTACTGGAGTGAACAAGGAAGCCCCTGTTCTCTGTGAAGCAACAGCTCTGATTGTTGGAACAAGTTTAAGTTAAAGTTTTCTGTTTCCTTTCAAATGATATAAACCACAGAACGATGGAGAAGTTCAGGTTTCTTATGCAAGCACTGTTACTGAAGAGCAGAAAGAAGCATTTAGCCAAAGCAAAACCAGGCAAGCTAACCCTTACTCTTCTCACAGGAAACTGCTTCTTTGCATATACACAGGCAGTGGAGGAAACAGTACTAACTGAATTTTGTTGTAGCTAAGCATCTGAAAGTCTTATTCTATTGCTGCATAACCAAAGTAGCTAACGTGAAGATTGCTGTGAAATGGGCAAGTAACATGCCATAGCTTGAAAGAAAGCTTTAGTGTAAAGCATAGGATACACAGAGACTATCATATTAACTCCTTTTACGGTCTAGATGATGTCAGAGATTAGATCTGCAAAGGTTGTTTATACAAGAGATCCAAAGTGAGAACAAATGACTGAATAAAACCGTTATGATTTATGAAGGCTGCCATTACAATTTACCAGTAAGAGATTCCTGTTTCACATTATTTAGATTTTCATTTTGTTTGAGAAAGCTACTCAACAATAAAAAAGGACATTAAAAGTTGCTTTGATAAAACTATAAGAAAGCCAAGTTAACCAGTCAAGTGTAGTATTCTCAATCCAGATCTGTTTACTGAAAGGTGAAACATGAAAGACGCTATTCTTAGAGAATAAAAAGCTTCTTACTTAATTGAGGTTTTGCCAAGGCAAGGCTTGTCTATTTGCCAAATGACAGTCTTCATCAAGCTGGATTATTTCTCATTAACTCCATTTTTCTGAAGTAATAGTTACCTGCACTACATTACCCTGAAAGATTGCGTTCCATTATAATCAGTAGCTCAGACTTTCTCAGGAGGAAAGTCAGAGAGTTTCAGAAAACCTCTGACAAAATCTTACAGAAAGAGAACCATTAAAAAGACTTCAGAATTGTATAATTTCATTCAGTTTCTTGTTCTCTTAACTGAGGCATTTACATATCATTTCCCTAGCATAATAGGTTCAAGGTTAAATTGCAGCACATTTAACTAGTGACAGTTGTAGTGAGTTCCTAGTCAGGAAGCATTTCAGATGGGCTTAAATGCTTTTAAGAACACCTTTATTATCTCTTTAAACTGTGCATGTTTAAATAAGACAGTGTTATGAATTAACTAGAACAGCTGAAAACTTCTAGTGAAAACTGAAGGCTAAAGTGCTCAAGATTACATAACCACACTTTGTGTACAATTTAGTAATAAACCACGTGACAGGCTGCAATAGCAAGTCAGCATTTACCAGACCAAAACTTCTGAAACCATTAGATCTAGCACTACGGCTGCTCTGTTTAATAAATGGGGTATACCACTAATGTACAAAATTACTTCCTTATGTCTCTTCAAGAGTGGGAGAAAAAGGAAGCGAGGCAGTAAGTTTTTAAGTACTGCATGATCCAATAACAGGCCCTCTGTAATCAGACAACTCCAAACCTACATATTCATGAGGTTTTCAGATCAGATACTGCTTCAGTGAAGCAAACTGACACGTCTGTAAAGTCAGCTAAATAAAATTCTGTAACAAGCTAACAGAATAAGGCCCAAAGAAAAGCAGTTTATTTCTAAGCTCAATGAAGTATCTTCGTCACTACTGTGATGCATCTAAACAAAGTTAAGCCAATAAGCAGTTGTATTAACATAATTAATTACATACCTCACAAGTGCTGAGGATTGCATACCTGAGTAGACATGTCCTATCCTCCTCCTAAGAACACTGAACAATTCATTTGATAAAAAAGCAGAACTGGCCATGAAATTCTGATCACAACAAGCCAGGTAGGCCATCTTGAATAAAGACTCTGGAAACCACTGTTCTGAGCTATAGCACTTCAACTCACGTCCAAGTATTTATTTTGCTATCATGTAACAAATACTTCAAACCACTTTCTCAGAAAGAAGGCTGCATTTTTGATAAAACGAGCAGCAGATCTGACCTGGTGTATTAAAGTTATATTCCACTACTACTTACAGACGAGCCCTGACACGAAGCTCCCCACTTTGTGTGCAGCCTGTGAAACACAACAGACTGATGTCAAGCTTGCTGATGAGCACAAGGGAAGCTACAGCAAAATTAGTATTTCCCCAAGAACCGAGTCTTGCGTTCTAGTCCTCAATTTGCCTCTAGCAGTCCAAATTCAGAAAGATATTAAAGAGATACATAAAATTGTAACCCTAATGACACCTGCTTTTGCTTCCCTGAGACCATATAAATTTCTTTAAATATGAGGGAGAAAAGAGGGGGGGGAATAAAATGAGGCATGGGTTTACTACTAAATGTTGCATACACTGATAGTGATAGGTGCAGCAATACAAATATCAGGGGAAAGTTTAGCTATGTTATGCCAAAGAGTTAGGTTATTATAGAAAATTCATTCATGCCACCTAGTAACTGTCACTTAATTTCTACCTCATATCACATTTTAGTATTTTGAGAGCACAAAAGCAAGAGTACTATTACGGTATCAAATATAGGATACCTTTAAAACAGGCAAAATAGAGTAGGAACTGTGAATTCAGAAAATACACCGTGAATTACATGTCCAAAATCTTTAGATGTGTTCTAGAAAAAGGAAACTGCTTCCTTCCATTATCTGGTAATTATATGTGATATCAGGTTACACCTGATATGTACTTAACAGATAACTGGGTTCAGGAGTATACCCATGGAATTTCTGTTACACATTAAAGAAAATTACTTTCCCCCTCCCCTTCAAATTTCTCTGTACTTTTTTTTAAATATGACATTGTCCTCACACAAAATATCCCAGTAACAGTCCTTGGTTAGCACAGTCCTCTGTAACTAACAGTAGAGAAGTGTTCCCCCTTCTTACCCATAAGATCAAATGCCACATAAGATTCCTTCACCCTTCCTAGAAGCATATTAAGAATTAAAACTAAAACACCTCACATCAAGAATAACACAGAAGTCAAGAAGGAGAACAAGCTTTTTTCATTAAAGAAAGTGGAACATTTTCACATAAGGCAAATTGCTCAGGACCTTCCCCAATTGAATTCTGCTTTCAATATTAGGTCAACCTTGCCTTGGGGTACTCCCAAGGTGCCTTCCAATCTAAATGCCTTAATGATCATTACAGAACTTACTCCCAACCCAAGCAGCTGATTATAAAAGTCAACTTTCAGCACAAATCATTGAGAACTTCAGTAGAAGATGCACAGCTTAAGATGAGAAAGACTCAAAAACGTGTAGAAAACACACTCTAAAACTGCAAGCTGGGCATAGAAAGTAAGCTAAAACCCAAGGAGGACTGGTTTACATCTTCACAAGAACAGTGCTGAAATCACTATAGAAGTAAAGGAAGAATGGCTGATGCTCACAAATTCTTCAACCCAGATGGAAAGTTTCACAAAAAATAGGAGCACACTTTTTGTTTCACTTCTGTTAAAGCAACGCCTTTGTCAAGTAGCTAGATAAACCATCACACATGAAACAGTTGAGTTGGGAACAAAGTGCAGAGCATCTACTTTTTAACCACAGCATAGAGTGGTTACTTTATTTTTTAAGTCTATTTTATGTCCTTTAGTAGTATTCACAACTATAATCAATTTTACTTTTTACCTTCTATGTGTAGTCAGTGTTTTCCAAACACATGAAGCTTTTACTTCACAGAAAATACTTTTTCAGCTGTTCTAAAGCTACAAAAGCCATCAGGAAGTGCTATTACAAAACCTTCTTATAAAACAAGTTGCAGATGCTCTTTAAAAGCACATTTAAACATTGCATTCTTAAAATTCTATATTAAAGGTGATCACTTCATAACTCTATAAAGGGAAACACAGGAAACAAACTATTGTTTCATCTATTCATGCCAAACAAGAGTCTTCTATTTAAGTCACCATTTAATAAAATGTAATTAGAGATCTTCTCCATGTTTTAAACAAATCTTACAAGGCTCAGATACCCTTCTCCTAGTTCAACTACAACTTAAGCCTTGCAGCTGTTTTTGTGGGTCTTTTTTATAGCAGTAATCTTGTTAAACTAGTTTCAGCTAATATATAAAGATATTCCGGATAACTTTATACTCATGTTCTGTGCAAGTAACTAAATGGGGCAAAAAATACTCTACACAGTATCAAAGTGTGTTGGGAAGACCCTCAGGTGATCACTTTGAATATGCAAAACGTAACAGATCACAACACTTACTTTTCATAGACCAGTTCCTCATCCGTACAAAAGTAGTGGGTATTTACGGTACTTTTCGGTTTATTTCGTAAAGTAGCGAAGTACAACCGATCTGAAAGACAGATTAGGGCAGAGCGTCGGTCGGTGCGGGCAGATGCCCCGCCGGCTGCCCGGGGCACGCCTGTCACCCCGCGGCCCGGGGCGGAAGAGGCTCCGCCGCTCCTTTTTCTGCTGCGTGAGCGGCGGCGGGAGCGCCCGGACCGCTCCGCCCGCGGGCCCTGCCCCGCAGGGCCCCTCCGGGCACCTTCGGGAGCGGCCCCGCGGGCGGGGGAGGCTCTGACCCCGGGCACAGCCGCACACAGCAACAGGTGCCGGCCCCGCGCCCTCCCCGCCGGGGGAGCGGGGGCAGGACCCGCCGAGGTGCGCCCGCGGCAACCGGGGGCGGGCAGCCCGCCGAGCCCGCCAAGAAAAGGGGCCGAGCACGCAGCAAAGCCGGGGCGGGGAGGCGGGAAAAGCCAGCGGGGTTCCTCTCTGAGGGAAGCCTCGGGACCCCCGCGGGCAGGGGACGGGGCGGCTCCCGCCCCGCTCTCACCTTTCACGAACTCCGAGGCTCCCCCCAGCACTTCGGAGGCAGCCGCCGGCGGCTCCATCTTAAACAGGGCGCGGAGCAGCGAGGCGCGGGGCGGCTCCGAGCTCATGGCGCTCTCGGGCAGCGCCGGCGGGGCCGGGGCGCGCTCGCTGGGACCCGACCCGCTGCCCAGAGGGGCCGCCCGCCGGGGCCCACGGTGCTGCGAGCGCGGCGGCCGCAGCCCGCATAGGAGCGGGAGCGGAGCCGAGAACGAGCCTCGGGACACGGCAGGCGAGCGCCCACAAGGACTCCAGCTCCACCCCGCCCCCAGCCGGGAGACGCCCCCGGATAAAGCGGCAGCGGGCGGTTACCAAGCGACCGGCGGCGCTCTGGCAACCGCGTTACGGAGCCTTTGTCTCGCCCGGCCCAGGGCTGACGCCGAGAGTGACCGGCCCCCCCGCGCTCGCCCCCTGGCCCGGCAGCGCCCCTGCTCCGCCAGGCAGCGCCTCTGCGCCCGGCGCGGCCCCGCCTCCGCCCCGCCAGCCCTGCCGCCCACCGCCTGGGCAGTGCCGCCGCGCCCCGCTGAGCTGCTCGCTGCCTTTCCCCGCCCGGGGGCGGCCCGTGGCACAGGGCCCCGCGGGGACAGGGCGGGTGCCGAGGTGCAGCTTGGCGGGGAGCGGCGCTGGGCCGGAGCGGCGCCTCAGCGGCTCGGGCGGGCTCCGGCCGGGGGCGGGCGGGCGGCCGAAGCGATTCTGGGGGAGCCGAGCACGGGGAACCGCGCAGCTCTCGCTGCCCTACCTGGGGCACCACTCACCGTGACAGACAGGCCCGCTCGCCAATCAAGGCCCGCCCTTCTGCGCCTCCAGCCAATGAGCGAGCGCTGCCCGGGGAAGCGCCCCGCCCACGGCCGCCCGCGGGCCGGGGTTTGTGCTGCTCCTGAGGCGGGGACGGGCCGGGCGGGGCAGAGCCCGGGGCAGCGGGGCTCGGGAAGGCGCTTGCGGAGGGGAAGAGCTCTCCTAACACGCTGGCTCGAGCTGTGGGCGCGTTCTTCTGCCACCCTCCTCTTTAGAAAGAATTGGTAAGTGCCAAACAAGGCAGACAGTCCGTTTCATATTTACAACGAAAGCAAAAAGTTGCAAAGAAGAGAGAACTCGAGGAGGAAAAAAAAAAAAGAGAGAAAGAGTTATTCTTCGCCCAAACACCCCCGCTCGCCCCTTGAAGCACCTTAAAAAGATGTTGTAATACAAAGCCATATGCAGCCCTGAGGTTGACATTATTATCACCATCTTTCCCAAACACTATAAATAACCTACTGTAACTACCAGTTCAGATAATTAATCCCAGTGTGTCTGTAAATGAGACTAAACATGAGTGTGTAACACTTCTCACTCCTCAGTTTTTATTCTAGTGTCATAAGCACTGGATAATCTTTAAAGCTTTACAAATAAGGTGAAGTACTACACAAAACACTTCTCTAGTGCAACTTGTTGTGTAGTTGCTTATTTATTTTTTGTCTTGGTTCTAATAATTTATACCTGTGTTCTTACATTGCTTTATTTTTTTTTTAAAAAGTTCCAGAGCTAATATTCCTAAATATGAATTTGTTTGGACCTGATCCTGTGAACCTAATCAGAAATACCATTCTCAGTACTGTTCCGTACAAGATGCTTACATGAATGAGACTATAGCTGTAACAGCACATTAAATAAAGGTTGTTGGTGGAAGGTATTTACTTTTCATGGAAATCAATGGGTTTATTTTTCCTTATATAGGAAAGTCCTTTCTATACGACTTTCACTTGTATTTAACCCTTAATTAAATTTTTTTTTTTTACTTACAGGCAATTGTCTAAGGCGTACCATAGCCTTACCTGTAAGAAAAGGGGTAGTAAGGTATTACTAGAACATTTATATTACAGAATGTAATTACATTAATGTATTACAGAACCATAGTTTTTATAACACCCTTTTTGACTTAAACTTTCACTACAGTTCCAGGTAACATTTCTAAGTCTATGCTGCACTTAAGGGGAGTTTGAATGAGCATACTCAAAATAGTCTTAAGAATACTTTCTTTGGCAACAGAAGCAAAGATGGAGCAGTGGAACCATCTGCTATCTGGAATCCAGAGTCCTTAGAAACTGTTTGTGTTGAAGCCTATTATTTGTAAACCCATCTAGCTGGACGCTGAATCTAGGAACTGAAGAAACCGAAGCCCTGCTGTCAAATGTTTGCATACTGCTTATACACCTTTTGCAAAATTACAAATACTATTTTCATTGCATAGAAGTTCTCATTTGTGGCAATTAGCAACAGCCTTTGTAAGCATCGGAAATACTTAAACTGATCTTTCTTTTCTTCCTTGTAAAAATATGTACAGAATAACCAAGTTTTTTCAATTTCAGTATTGCATCTTGTAGTTTTTACTATGATAATTTAACTAATTCTTCCTTGTAAAATCCTAGCTTTAAGAATGTTTTCAACCAGTACAACTTTTTATAATCAATTCTAATTACTCGTTTTAACATTTGATATCAAATATCAAGGCTACAGTGACATCTTGTGGCATTTTTTGGTAAAGAAGTAATTTTCTTGTAGTCCTGTTACAGTATTTGAACACTAATATCCTGACTTTTTCAACTAGGATTGATCTTTCAGGTATTTTAAAACCCTATGTTGCATAAGCACTAATTTCTACAGAACATTCAGAGGTGGTGATGAATCTGTTTAGACTCCAAAATATTTACAAATGACAAGTAATCTAAGTAATATCTTAGAAGAAATAATCACATGCATATTATTATGTTTTTCACTAAGGAATCCCAAAGCACTTTTATAATCACCAAAGGATAAAAATCAGCCTTTAAAAAATAAGCAAACAAAACCCTTTTGGTTCCCAAACAAAATGAATTCTGACTGGAGCTGAAGTCTTACCATTGAATTTTCTTTCCTATCTAAGACTAACTGCTTAAGGCTGTGTCTTTTCGATGTCTTCCCTCACAAGTGGGCCTTACCTAAATTAAATGAGTGTATGTGGCAACAAGTACACGTTTTTTAAAAAAAGAAATCTTGGTGCTGCTCATCTGTATGCAAACTGTGAGCTTACTTTAGACATCTTAACACTGAAAATTTTGGTAAATAATCTGAAAATCATCACAAATCTGCTTTCTGTATTTTATTTGACAATGGTACAAATTAAATTTAACAATATCATTAAAAGCTTGTTCTATTAATTTTTTCACTGATACAGAAGAACAAAAAAAACCCAGAACAAATCAAAACAACTCCTTCCATCCAACACAGAGCCCGATACTAAGATTTGGCTGAGCTGACAGTTTGTTTCACATTTTAAAAATAAGACAAACAACAACTGTGAGTCTTCACAATTCTAGCTGATACTGCACAGAACAGAAATTCCAGAAGACCAGTAAGTAAATGAAATACAGTAAACTACAACTGGGAAAGTTGCATTTCTGGAAAGATGATAGACCTGTTTGTATACTACTAAGCACTACAACACAATAATTAAAAACTACTTTTCACTATTACAACAAAATAAAGCAGACTTTACAATGCCATGTTAAGATTTTGCCCTTTAAGTCTTACAAAAGTACTAGGAAGACTTCACTGAACAGAAATCAAATCCTTTAGCACTGATAGAACACGGCAAAAGAATCCTCTGTTCCCCCAAAGACTCACACCCTGCTGTAAAGAACTTGTCACATTCTTCAATCACTTTTTGTTCAGCTAATGTATTACAAAAAAATGATAAAATTATACATTTTTTGTGCAGATGCTATTTGTTTACCAGGTATTAGCTGTTATTGGTTGCCCACAGATACCTTTGAACTTATACTAAGAATCAATTAAAAGCTGATGCAGATGAAACTAAATCTGCTTTGGATGCCAAATCTGATTCTGTGGTCCAGGAAAATCACTGTCTTTTGTTCTTTCTTCCATACCATTAAAAAAAAAACCAAAAAACCCAACCCTTCTGCAACTGCAATGGAAAAGGTTTGTCCTGTCTATGTTAACACAAGGTTTCCAGAACTACAGAGCCCCAGTTTAACAAAAGCTATTGACAGCAGCTCTGTTTCTTGCTACAAATGAAGCCAGGGAATTCAGAGACTGATAACAGTCCATCCCTGTTAAATATTACTGTAGTGTAAAATACTTTTTTTTCCTAATGCTTTACCCATTCATTGCACATTTTAATTCTGTTGTCATAGTCACCAAAACCAGAGAAGGAACTAGAAAGTAAATACGCATTTGAAAGAGTAGTTAAAAAAAACCCAACAGATCTGTACAATTACAAAATGTACACTGTAATAAATGTAGAACAGCTTGCTCTTACTAGGAATTGTAAATAAGACATTTTTAACAAGTGAGGATTTTCCTGGGCACATTTTTGTATCAATGTAAATGCAAAATATCAAAATAAAACTATGTACTAAAGAGAGTATTAATAAATAACATCCCATCCATTTCTTTGACTGCTTATGTAAGTGTCATATTTCATGTATTCATGTTTCTTACATTTCCAACTACTAGGATTTACCTTTCAGCTGCTTGCAGTGTTTCAGCAACTCTAGGCAAATCAATAATAGGAAAAAAAACCACATCACAGATCATTTTCCACTATCTCAGCAGGAATAGATATGGTAGGCAATGGTTTTAGGACTATCTGAGATTAAGGTGAGGTACTCTTCTTGCTTTCTTAGCAGCTTCAGAACATCTCAGGACACCGAACAGCTTATATACAAACTTCAAAGGGGTTTTGTACAGGAGTGTAGAAGCCTGGCCAGCAGTTCACTGTAGCTCTTCTACAGTTTCACTGGGAACAGAAGGAGGTGAGGAGAGGGAAGGCAAGGAAGCATCTCAACATATAACCGTCAAAAATATGCCCAGGTCTCATTAGACTAGATACGTTTATTTGAGAAAAAAAAATCAAAATGTAAGATCTGAAGGGTGGGAGTGCATTTTTGACTGCATGTTTCTAAAGAATTGGCCTAATAATTATAGTAGCTTTTCAGATTTTAAGGAAAGAGGATGATTTTATCACAGCTAAACATTGTTATATATTAAGTTTTTAGAAAACTTACCTTGGTGAATTAGTTAGAAAGGAAAAAAAAAAAAACACATAAAAAGCCCAAAAGCCCAATGGAGAAAAATCAGAGGCTACACAGAGGGATGGCCAAGATGCAGTAATTACACCTTATTCTCTCCTTGAACCCAGTGGAGTTTACTGAGTACAGTTCAACATTTAACACCTTAAATTCATTGGCTTACATTTTATTTTTGTGATTTGCATAATTAGGAAAACCAAACTGAGAAATCATGATATTAGAATATTTTAAGGGCATGCCATCATAAATATTAACCAGTTTATTTACACAGTAGGATCTCTGTAACAAATGCTCTGCTCGGTGCCACATTCCCGAATAGCCACTGTTAGTGTCTTTTTCTAAATTTCTTATATCAACAGGCTTCACAAACACTCCTGAAGGCTTTCCAGTATGCTTGGCTACCAGAAAATTCATGGCAATATCATCACAATTTTGAGTTTCATCTATTAAGGCGTAAACTGCTTCTGGCTGTCGTTGAAAGTCTTCTAAATATCCACTGTGAAAAAATGCTGCACCAATAAGAACCATAGAATACTGATCTCCATTTCCAAATCCAGGGTTCTGCAATTCAAAGCTACCATAACTGTATACGCCTGAAGGAGTAGAAATGTGCTTTCTAGGAACAAATCCCACTATATGCTCTGGAAATTGCTGAAAGAAAAAAGAAATTTAAAAGAAATCAAAGTGAACCCCACACTGTGAAATGTGTGTTAAGTACGTTCATAAGAGAGATTTATCCATTTTTTAAATGAGAGGAGCACAAGATTATTGCCAGGAAATAATTAAATTGTTGACATATGGTCCTTTGATCTGCATAAATGTTGCAATTAAATACAGTTTCACAAAACTGACACACTATGCCTCATTCCACATCATGCAGTGCCAAGAAACATCTTTCCACAAATTGCAGCTGTGTATTTGGCACTGAAAATAACTTTACAGACATTTTATCTTGTTTTGCAAAGCGTAACACTTTTGTTTAACAAACTACTATACTACAATAAACGTAAATAAATTCAGCAGTTAGCACCTTCATGTTTTCGTAAGTAAGAGTTACAATTTTAAAGTTATAGATTACAGGTACAGCTACTACAGAAGATTATTTTTGTAATTTCTACTATTCAACACTTCAGTCCTTCCAAAATCTAACTTTACAGATAGAGAACCAATGGTCAAACATTATGATACAGTATTACTCCAAATAAACCCGTTAATCTCAATTGTAAGTCACAAATACTGCCAGCCAAGATGCGAAACATTACCTGCCAAACAGAAAAGGCAAAAGCAAGGTCATGAGCACTGACTAGAGTGTCATCATCCATCATTAAAACAGCTGAAGGGAGGAAAAAAAAAGAAAAACTTTTAATTTGTCAAAAGATTAAATACACGAGCACAGTACGCAGCACAGTATTTGACAAATTAAATGTGAAATTTCTATAACCATTAAGCTGAATTACAACTCCCTGAAAGAAGATTGAGAAAACACAACTATATTTCAAAGCTAAAGCAAGGTTGCAGCTTTGTGGTAGCTGGAAGCAAACCTAAGTTTTGGATTATTTGCCAGGCTGGAACAAAACCGAGCAACTTTTGATCATCTGTAGTACAGCTGGAGAGATATGTGTTGGAAAACTTGGAAGCGTTTGGCAAAGCAGCTTAAAATTCTACTAATCTTGTGTAAAGATACAACTAAAATAGAGTTAGAAACCTTTCTTTAGCATGTGAGCCTTATAAAGGATTCTTAGAGTAAAATTTTACTCATCTCCTCACTACTTGAAAGTTCTAAGTAAGCAAGTTAAATAAATTGCACAGGCAACATTCAATGTGATTAACTATAGAAGGAAGACTCTTTGCCTTGAATTTTAGACAAAAGACTATCAGGAAGTGGAAAAGGAAGGATATTCTTGGAACTTCAGATGCATTAAAGCTTTTTAAATTTACAGTAGGCACAAATCCTATTACAGTAAATAAAACACTTGGGAAGTTGAAGTTTCTAATGTCTTCCTAGAAATCGTGGGTTTGGAGTAGCAAGGCATGTTAGGAAGGGGGCAGTAAATAGAATTACCTTTACTAATCATGAGTAAGGTCAGGTCTGTAATGCAACATATGGGGTTTTTTTCCACTTGAAACAAACAGGACTTATTGTTGTACACCTCCTGGAAAGAGCTTAGGAAGAATATTTAGATGAATAGCCAAAAGACTGGGGAAAATACTCTTAAAAGGGATGCATAATTTGAGATAAAAAGCCAGACAGCTAGGGAGGGAGGTTTCTCAGAAGAGCAGAACATGCTTGAGAACTCAGTCTTAAAGGAATGGATTAAATCAAGTCTTTACCAGATAACTTAAGTCCAGATCAGTGCACACACTCAACAAATACATGCATTATGAATTTCAGTTTATGCTACAAAAGGAAGAGAGGCTGAACTACCTATGTCTCCCTGACAAAGGAAATGGGGAACAGTTGCAAAAGCCCATGAAATACTTTGACATCCCTCTTCTTTTTCCTTACTCTTCACTGACAGCCTGTTGGTGGTGTGCATCTGACATCAGAACATCGGTTTCCTCTATACTACCCACGTTCTAAGTGACCCAGCACATCCACGGATTTATTACATAGTATAACTCAAACCATCTCTCTTTTAGCATTCAGATTTTAAGCATGAAAATAATATCAGTAGTAGTGATATGAACTGCTGATTACCTTTTGTTTCCAGCTCAGGGAAATTCTGCAGCCTGTTTCTCATGCGATTTACACTTTGAACTTTAAAGACAACAGGGACAGGATGAGGCCCCAAGGAATTCCACATCTCCTCTGGTGTCTTCTCACCAATGTTGTTCCACACAACAATTACTTTATGTAGGTTGGGGATGGCTTGATAATGATTTAAGAGCTTTAGCAGTAAGTCAGTTCTATTATATGTCTGCATAATAAGAGTAAATGAATCCAAGGCAGACTGACTCTGGGGTTTTGGTTCCCTTCTCAAATTGGGCAATTTGTCATCTTTGATGCTGGGAAGCAAAGCTGTTAAAGCACCTGCCACAAGAAGTAAGACGATGATCACCACAGAGGTGAAGCGGAGTAGGCGGATTCCCATAACTCTTCCTGGAAGCTTACAGAAGTGAAAATACCTTCAAAACAAGTAACAAGAAAGGAAAAGTCATTAAATCCATGTTAATGAGCAGAACTTCCATAATATTAAGCAGATTTTGGTTCAAGTAAATAAATAAGGAGGATTTTAGGATTTTGGCCAATTACTGTCAAGACAGATACTTCTGGTACTCTGTTTCTATGCTTACTTGCTTTTCACCTTTTTTTGTTAACTTTGAATTTCATTTTTTTGTGAAAATTAATCCAGAATAATTCTTCAGATTGTTCATTGTTTCTTATTTCCTCAGTATGTGTTTTTGACTGAACATAGATATATTTCATCAAACCTATCCAGCTGAAATTAGAAGGCAAATTTGTACTGATTCAGTATTTTCAGCACTGCAGGAGCTCTACTTTAGCTGGGAAGCAAAAGGGAGAGAAGATGCTTCCTCAAGAGCTCCTCATACAGCTTCCCCTCAAGGCCCTTCACCATCTTTGTAGGTCTCCTTTGGATGCTCTCTAATAGCTTTATATCCTTCTTTTATTGTATTCTTACATTAATTCTTATGTTCATATATAGCTGCACGGGACCACCTGGAGGTGAGGCCGCCCCAGTGCAGAGCAGAGATGGACAATCCCCTCCCTCAATCGTCTGGCCATGCTTTGCCTGATGCCCCCCAGGACAGGGTTCGCCCTCCTGGCTGCCAGGGCACTGCTGACTCATGTTCAACTTGCCAGCGACCAGGACCCCCAGGTCCCTTTCCATGGCACTGCTTTCCAGCCTCTGATTCCCCAGTCTTATATCCAGGGTTGCCCTGTCCCAGCTGCAGAATCCAGCACTTGTATTTGTTAAACTTCATACAGTTTCCTTTTCTCCTCCTTTACTTGTAAGATTAGTATGAATTGAATGCAAGATGAATGCTCTAAGCTTGCTACTAAGTAGTTACTCATCTATACATATTACTCATGTTAGTAATTTCTAGGTTTTCAGCAGGGAATTCTGATCAAATTCAGTGATCCAGGACAGCTGAACAATTACAATTTGAGAGTGGTTTTTCACTGATTTTTTAATCCTTCTTTTCCAAAGTGCAAATACCATGCTTGAAAATGTGAATGTAAATTATTTTAATCTAAAAAGCCTCACGACTCACCTCATTGTTGCCAAGTAGGATCGTTTTTTCCCCTCTTCTTTTTTTAGGGCAGTTGTTTGTGATCTTTAAATCTGTTGGAAATTAAAGGGACTCTATAATTGAAGATCAACAATTATCTACATGCTACCCAGCATTCTTTTACAAATAAAAGTTCCTCTCTATTAATTGGCTGATATACGCATTCATGGCAATTATCCCATCCTTTTTCCTATTGCTCAGTTGAATTGTCTCTGCCTGTCAATGAACACTCCAGAAAGAAGTTATTACACCAGATGGTCAAAAAGAAAAGAACAGCATGTTTCTCTACTCGCAAAATTATCGCCTTGTGCCAGTGCAATGTCTGTGTGTTCCATCCTTAAGTTCAACTACAGAGATATAAGGAGTTCTCCAGAACCTCACCAGCTGTTGCTTTGTTCACCAGGCACCACTAAAATATATATTTGGCTACCACAGTCAGGCAAGTACTCCCAATGAAGTTATTTTATTTTATGGCTCATCCCGTTCACGTTCTCCTTCCACTGAGTTAACAAGTTACATCAGGGATTTAAGACACAGAATTTTGTTCTTCCCATCTGGTTTGGCAGCTTGGAAAATATAAGTGTAAGCACATAAAGGAAGGATGTACAAGATCCTTCCTTTTGCAGGACAGCAGAAGAAACTTGTGTCTGTTAAGGCTCTTAGACTGTGGGAGGGATTTTGTTCCTTTAAAACTAGAAAGAGTCTTTAATTTTGATTTAGGAAAAGTACTGTGAAAGCTCAGAGAACAAGAATTTGCTGAATTTGTTGAATAACTGAACCAATGTGAATTTCATAGGAGAAATTTGAGCTATATAAACTTGCTTCTTAAAAATACAGATTTGCCAATTTGTGTGTATAACAATCAGAATATGTCCACGTATACAGGTCTTCCCAAATCTGAGTTCCAATTTTACCACTATTTTGTGAGGAGAGGTCACTGAAACTATTTCCAGAAGCTAATAATTTGTTTTGGTTGCCTAATTTTATAGGTTTAAACAATCACATCTGATTTCTAAAAATTATTAGCAGGAGTGGCTACTCAGCATTTATGAGGTCCACTGTATCCTCATCGTATGTGCTTTTGAAAACCTTAGATCCTCTTTCCCCAGTTTGCAACCTAGTTGCAACAATACTTACCACTACTACTGTAACGATAAATTAAAATTTAAAAGCATACAATATTGTTTGCTGTTTATGAGGCTTCCTTGCTTATAACACATTCTAGTGTTTACAACATGTAGTGACAAGCAAGGATTATATTATACAGTCCCTAATTAAAATAAGCGCCTATTTAGATTTTTTTGGAATTATCATCACGGCACTTTCTGATGTGCCGTGAAAGCGCAGATCGGTTTTGCCAGTTAAATTATGAAACTGCAATGCAGGATTGACCTCTTTTAAGAAACCGTACAGTACTCCCTGTACACAACACAAAATAAAAATGACGAAAATAAAACCCCGCTGTCAAAACCCAGTGTCTTAATCCTCGTTCCGAGGAAAAGATTTTTCGAGCGGGTGCCCCTCCTTTGGCGGGCAGCACCCCGTTAGCAGCACCCCGCAGCACTTCGGTGCGGCCCGGCAGCACCGCAGCATCAGCATCTCCCGCCCCGCGCCCGCGGCTTCGCTCACGTTGCGCTTCCTCCGGCCGGGCGGTGCTCCCGAGGCGGCACCGGCAGGGCAGGGCAGGGCGGAGGATCAGAGGTGCCGGCCCCGCACCACCGCCCGCACAAGCCCCTCCGGTGACTCAGGGGCGGCCCCGCGGCAGCGCCGCTTCCTGCGGGGCGTCCCCGCGCTTCCTCCCGGCAGGCTCCGCGCCGCACGGCGGGTCCCCGAGCCCCGGCGGTCACACGCGGGGCGCGCCGCGCCCCCGCCCCGCGCCGAGCGCCGCCGCGACAGCTGCGCCGGGAGCGCCCGGCATCGCCAGCGGAACGCGCGCGAGCGGCTGGCACGGCGCGGGGCGGACCAGGGCTCCCGCCCCGGGCGCGTTGTGTGTCCCCAGCGGGCAGCGCGCCCTGCCCCGCGTTCTCCCCCGCAGCCCCGGCCCGGCCCCCGGCGCGCCCGCACAGCCCCTCTGCCCGGCGGCGCAGGCGCAGTGGTGGCCGGAAGCGGCGTGTGGGCCGGCCGGGCCGCGCCCCCGCCCCTCCGCCCGTCCTCCCGGCCCGGCCCCAGCGCGCCGCGGCCCCGCCGAGATGCTGCCCCTCTCCATCAAGGACGATGAGTACAAGCCGCCTAGACTCAACCTGCTCAGGAAGGTGTCCGGCTGGTTCAGGTGAGGGAGCGGCTCAGGGCGGGCCGGGTGCAGGCGGGGCTGCGGCCAAGCCCCCGCAGAGGGGTCGGGGAAGGTGGTGCCGGGGGTGCCTGGGCGCCCGGCGGGCGGGTCCGGCCTCCTGCCGCTGTGTCGGCGGCCGGTGACCCGCGGTGTGCTCCGTCCGCAGGTCCATCCTGGCGGACAAGACCTCCCGCAACCTTTTCTCCTTCCTCTGCCTCAACCTCTCCTTCGCCTTCGTGGAGCTGCTCTACGGCATCTGGAGTAACAGGTAGCGGGGCTGGGGGCGCGGGGTGGGCCGAGCGCGGCCCCAGCGCGCAGGAAGCGGCGCCTCCCGTCCGGCCAGTGCCACGTCTCCGCCCGGCGGGGCCGGGCCGGGCCTCCTGCCCGCCGTGCGGAGGGGCCGCTCGGCACAGCCTCGGGGCTGCTGGAGCGCTGCCCGTGGGCAGCGACCGGCTCGGCCGCCCCTCCGCCGGGGCCCGGCGGCGCGGGGGCGGCGCGACTCGGCGCCTTCGGGAGGAATCCTCTTTGGAACTGCTGTCGTACTCGGCTGTGGGCTGAGGAGGAAGCCTGGCCTTGGCCCGAGTTACAGGACTCGAGGGTTGTAACCGTTTCGTGCTGCCGCTTGCCACAGACATCCTCTGTTTGTAGGTTGATTCCTGGGTTCCTTCCTCTTTCCGAGGAAAAAAAAGGAATTAGCACATCCAGGTATAATTAAGTGGTACTTTTTACACAGCACATAAATTCACAAAGGTGGGAAAAAAAGCAGAGACTTGACTAAATTGCTGTTGAAAAATCTGCAGTGAAATACAAGCAAAAGTGCAAAGTAACTTCTGGACTGACGTATGGTATATGGGTAGACAGTGGTGCTAGTGTCAGTCATGCTTCATTCGTGATAGAGAAGTTGTTTTATGGTGGTATTTCGCTGTCTTTTGTCTATAGTTCAGTTCAGAGTGAACTGGCTTGGAAATGTCAATTAAGCCCAGCAGTGTCCTTCCACATGGGAGTTAAAGCAGTCGTTGCCAAAAGCTGTAGTATGGACACAAATTACTGAGACTCTTCTTTTTAAGAGTCTTGAGTGAACGCAGCAATGTGGATTTGGAAACAGTTGCATCCTAACACCATGTTTTTCTGAATCTCTCAAACTACACTATAAAATCCTTAACTTTGATTACAGTAATTAATCAAAGCTACAGTGTATCACTAGTGAGCACGCAATGTTATCTTGGGCACAGAATATCTTAGTAGCACATAGACTATGTGTTTGGTTTTGGCTTTGATGTTGATTCACTTTGCAGTTGTGTGAGCGCTATTATGTGCATAGTCTGTCTGAGTATGGATGTTTTTTTCCTAATAACTCAGAAGATGTAAATATTTTTCTCTAGTTTGTGTATAAAGAGGTTTATGTCCATGTGAGTTTGTTCTGTCTTTTAAGCATAATTTTTTTCATAGTGGGACCTAAAAAAGTCCTTTATATGAGGTAACTAGTAGTGACACTTGGCAGTTTGTCACTGTGGAATTTGGCAATTGCAATTGAGAAGACATACTTTTTTTTTTCATAATTGAGATTAAGAATTGTGATTTGCATTAGTTTTGTTTATATTTCAAGTCACTAATTTTGGGTATCTCTAAGCCTAGATTTTGGGCTAGAACAAAACTGTCTTAGCAAGCACCTCTAGTAGAGAGTGGTAGCAGAGATTATGATGAGGAATGCCTTCAGTCAAAGCAGGCAGTTCATGCTGTGAAAGAACAAGCACATAACAAGCAAACAAGGAGCCATATAGGGAAAATTATTTCTTCATTTTGCAGAGCACAGCTCCGTCGTTCCCCACATGAGAGATTACCTTTTGTTTGTCAAGCAGGTTGCTTTCTGAACTCGCTGGTTTGTCATTTATATGATCATCCTAGAAATAATTTGGAATGCTGACAATCTTGAAGGACAGAAAACAGAGTTGGATATGGTATTTTGCTAGCTGAGAGCTTGTTTAAAGTTGAAATCTGCTACTTGGGCTGTTCTGTTTTACAATCCTATTACATGCACACTTGTGTAATTTGGTATTAAACTTGTGTTATTAAATGAGCTGTGGAAGTGTCCTCATTTAGACGCTGTAGTTTATACTCTGGACGATGTGCTTCATTTGTAAACAAAGTTCTTCCATACATCCCATGTTGCTAATGGTTGACTGAATCACTTGTTTGCTTTAGTAATCACTTTGCACACATTTTTTTAAAAAGTCTTGTTAATTTATAGGTCACTTAAAAAAAGCCTCAGATGAAATGAGATTGGCCTCTTACCAGGCGTCCTGCCACTTGTGCAGCTAAATCACTTACAGCTGTACCCATGATCCAGAGCATGGTTATGCCATGTGGTGAACTGTGCTGTTCCCTGTTGATAAATCCACATGCCTCTGGTCACCTGGAGTAGTGAGCTTAGGTCTTGAAAGCAGCACGGCTGTGCTGGTGTTGCACCTACTGTGAGTCTTGCCTTGCTGAGATTTGCAGGTGTGAGCACAGTGCCATGGTAACTTGCTGTATGATTTCTGGTTCTGGAGCTAGTATGGGATTTTGTTTCAGTAACAGCCTTTATGTACTTCTCTTTCCCAGGAGACTCTATTGGAAAAAAAAACACACCAAAAAGAGGCCTCGGAAACCACTAGCTATCTCTGTTTAGCCATGCTTATTCCTCCCATTTCATAATCATTACAACTTAGAGTTACTGTCACCCTATTTACCTTCTACCTGAATGTTTGGTGTGTTTTATGGGTTTTTTCCCCCCACTGAATCTTCCTTATCGAGGAACCAAGTCTAAAGCGATGAGTTTCCCTAGAGATGTCACCTGGTTTGGGGCAGGGGGAAGCTGTCACCAACACCCTTCAAGAATTCCATAGCAAATTCCATTTTGCTACTTCATAGGCATCCAGCTAAAACATTTGGTTTTAACTTTTACAGTTTGTTCAGAACAGCTTTATCTGTTTCCTGCTTTGGTGGCTATAGCACCTAAGGACAGTTCATCATGCCATCGTCTTTCTGCCTTACGTGTTACAGTTGTGTGTATATATAACTCTGTATGTGTCCCTAAAGTATATATGTAAATATATAGATTGAGGCACTTGTTCTCTCTCCTCTCTTCCAAACCCACTTCTTCCACAGTTGAGTGTTTCATCTGAAACACTTCAGATTAATTTTGTAATTGTTTTCGGTCAGACTCAGATGGTTTATTTTTTTAATGTGAGGTAGTTGGAACTCTGGCTAATGAAACTTTTTGTTTGACTTCAGTGTGAAAATGTGGCTGTCTTCTAGAACTTGTTACTACCAGCAAACACTTCTTGTTCTCCAGTTTCCTAAAACTGAGTTGTGTACATAATTGTTCTTAGACAACCAAAGGATTGGGAAAATGGAACTTTTGGGATGATTGTAGTAAGAAATGCTCATCAGTACCTCTGTATCAAATGTCTTTCCAAATATGAAGCAAATTATGTGTTGCACATACTTCCTTGCAGACTTACAGAACCCGTTTATGAGTAATTTAGTTAACTTTGGCAGCTGTTGTGTGTAGTGTTAAAGCCAGTTTACCTATAGCTTACAAACTGATATGAGTTCTACTGACCGAAAAACTCATGGACTAATTTAGCTTGCTTTGAACTTTTTAGCATGCTGTTTTACCCTACACTTTAACCGTGTTTGTCAGTCAAGATTGTAGTTGTGCATTGGTCTTTGAAATAAATCCTTTAAGATATGATCTTTCAGCTTCTGCTTCATTCAGCTTCTAGATCTAAGAGGAGTATGGATCTTCTAGTCAATGCCTTGCAGCTGCTAAGGCAAAGATTTAAGGTTGAATTATGTTAGCAAGAGGTGTGCCTGTAGGTAGATCTACTCCAGAGGTTTTGGTTTGTGTCGAGGGAACCCACCTTTCACTAGCACCAAAATCATATGCTAGGAGGATATTTTTTGCCAAGCGCTCTTCCAAAGTGCCTTTCCTAAGCTGACAAAATCAATTTTGGCGTTATATTTGTGTTGGTGATGAACTGTGGATTTCTCTGTGCTAGCAAAACCATGCCTGAAGCTTAGAAACACAGTGTATTCTGCTAGTGTGTAAAAGATAATTGGCTGTAGATTTTTTTTTTCACGTTCAACATGTGGAACATAACATTTTTTTCTTGTTCTCTTTCAGTTTAGGTCTAATATCAGATTCTTTCCATATGTTTTTTGACTGTACTGCTCTATTGGCTGGATTAGCAGCTTCAGTTATTTCAAAATGGAGGTCAAATGATGCTTTCTCATATGGGTAAGAAACTTCAGGCTGTTACCTTGATGTACTGTAATAACTGTTTAGGCAGTCATTTTTCACTCTATAAACAAAACCTCTTTTTGCAGAACATGGAAAAGCTATGTTGAAAGTGTGGGGTTTTTTAAGGTGAGTTATGTAAACCTTTAAGTTAATATCGCCCTAGAAATAGTAAAAATATGAAGGCATTGCTTTTGGGGAGAAGTTTTATCCCTTCCAAGATCTCTGTGATCATACTAATGGAAACAAGTTATACAGGAGAAAGGTGCCCTGCCCTGTCGTGTATTAATGGCACCAGTGAAGAGCGAGAGCTGCATCCTGAGTTTGTCCTCGCAGCGCATGAGAAGTGTTACAGGGGCTTTGGCTGCTGCTGTCCCATGCCTTCTTTGGAACAGAAAGTTACAGCTGAAAGGAGCTAAGTCACAGAGATGCTGCACTGAGATTATAAGCTATGATTCTTGGAATCAGTAGGATTTGACATCTGCCATTTGTGGCTGCCATTAATCCGGATCCTCAAGGCTGAGGTGTCATCCCATCCCGCCCTTGGTGGATATACTTGCTGCAGCTGGTTCTGTTTGAGGGTCACTTGGTTTCACTGAACATTGCAGGTCTGCCCTATAAAACAATACTGGTGGTACGATATTATTAATTGGTAATACTGATTAACAGCAAATGAGGTGTAACATGGGCTGCTGCACTCCTCATAACATTACTGACCCGAGTGTCATCATTTAGCTTCAGCTGTCTTGCTTAAGTGTGAATTCTGTAGTTTGAAACTTAAAGCACAGTTTAATTAAGGTGGAAACTCCAGTGTGCCCAAAAATCAGTTTACAAAGAATCGTACCATGAACTCAATTGCAATGAAAGCAGGTTCTGTATTAATTACTGCTCTTCATTTAAACAGCTGGTGTTCCATTTATTAGAGAACAGCCACAATTTATTGTTTGATGTTTGCTACATGGAAATTACACGTTATTCTAACCTGGCAGTTTTTTATTGTCAAAATTTGATGTTTGAAATAATTAATTTCTACTTAAAACTTTCACTAGTAATCCCCCTTATAGATGGGAAGCAAATTAATGTATGTCAGTTTGATATTATACAAAACTTTACGTCAGAAGACTTCGACTACATCTTGCGTGCTTATCTTAGTTTGTGGCTTCCCCAAATATATCTTTATACCACAACTTCCAGTAGAGATGATCTTAAATTGAAAGATTTTGACATATTGAAAGATTTTTTTTCATGTAGAGCAGGTAATAGCTGATGTGGATCAGGTAGTGTTTGTCAAAATACAGTTTAATCCATTTCATACACTTATTCTTAGTTTATATGCTGCATCTTCCATTTAGCAAATTCCTCTGTAATACAACTGTTTGAGAACTAGAAGATTGCACTCCAATCTTTTAAGTTCCACTTCTAAATTTCAGCATTTAAATGAATGTGGTAATATCTGCTATTGCTTTTTCTGTTTTTTGCAGGTATGTTCGAGCAGAAGTACTTGCTGGTTTTGTAAATGGTTTATTCCTCATCTTTACAGCGTTCTTCATTTTTTCTGAAGGCGTTGAGGTATGTTATGAAGTAAATTACGCTGTCAATTGTCACATTTCTGTTATTAATAGGGGTGAAATTATTGAGTTAAATAAATTGATTAGGTTCATAATTTATTAAAAATCGGTGATTTGAACAGAGAATAGGGCCATCTGAAATTGCTGTTTTGTGACACAGAAACCCAGCCTTTTCAGTGTATCTGTACTGGCTTCTTAAATGGTGTGTTTTGTTTACGTGTAAAGATTCTGTGAGATGTAGTCTGTCCTTTTTTTCAGCCAGTTAAATGTGTCGTAGAAAGATCTTCACTTTTCATTGTTGAAGGACAAATGAGGCCAAGAAGGAAAGGCCCAAAGTAGCCACTCAGAGGAGTTAGTCGTACGTCACGTTCTGTGAAGAAGTTGGACTAACTTGTTAAAGATAGAGCACTATCCTCCAAATTCTGAAGTATGATATAAATGGCAAGTAGTGATAACTTAGAGATCTACAAGGGTTTTTTTCTCAATTTTTTTTTTACATGATGATTCAGGTGATAATTTCAAGATTGAAATTTAGACATTAAGGGCAACATCGAGGATTAAGAGTAAAACTGATAACTATTTCAGATCAGCTTGCATTAATGCTTCTGCTTTTTAATGGGAGATAGACTATACATTTGTTTAGACTTCTACTTCATAAGATGTTCTAGTGAATTTTTCTTTTTTTAATAAAGAACTGGGAAGAGCTTTCAGGAACAGATCTTTTGCATTGATAAGCCTATCAATACCTTAGAATCAGTACAAGCTGGGCTGAAATTGCCTATAAGCTTGGGAAAACTTAAAATCTAGAAACAGGAAAAAAACTTATTAGAAAAATTAAAAGCTGACTGGTCAAGGGTATTGTTGAAACGTAATTCTCTTCTGGTCTTAGCCCCTATGGGAAGTATTCCCTTTCCTTGTGATGGTGACTTCTTTTCTCATTGTTGCTTTAAAGTTTTACATCTGCTGGAAGTTTCATTGTCTTGCTATTGCCTGTACCTTTCATTCCTGTGGAGAGATGGTGAATGTTTATCTCCTCTGTCAACAGTAATTTACGCTTGTCAACACTTGAGATGCAAATTGTATTAGGTCTATAATGTCTCATTGAGAAAAAAATTCCAAACAAAGTAGGTAAAAAAGAATTTAAAAAACGAAAATCAGTATAGATTTTAGAAGTTCTAAAAAATGTCACAGTTTGTTCTCAGTCTTCATTTCATTTCCCTCATTGCCTCACTCTTCTCAGAAGAAAGGAAGAAATAGTGGAAGTTGTTTAGGTGACTTGGGCAATCCACATACGACAACAGACTTGAATGTTTTCATGTGGTGTTAAGTCACATCCCACAGCAAAATGAAATCTTATGATAACAGTTAGCTCGACCATCAGAATATTCTACTGTACTGTCAGAGCTCTAATAATAAAATTTCAGCTTCAGACAATAAGAATTAGTCTATCATACCAAAACCTGGTAGTCCTGAGTAATTTTTAATTATGTCTGTACATATGTTTGTATGAGAATGCTCCTCTATCTAAGTAGTTTTTTCAGCATCTTTTAATAATGTAAAACTCTACATTTGTGCTTTGTTTTGTTTTTGTTTTTTTGTTTAGAGAGCACTTGAGCCTCCTGATGTACATCATGAGAGACTTCTTCCTGTTTCTATACTAGGATTCATTGTAAATCTTATAGGAATATTTGTTTTTCAGCATGGAGGTCACGGGCATTCACACGGAGCTGGTAGGATGTCTGTAACTTCCAGTACTGTTTCCTTTCTTGGCACCCTGTGTTCAGGACTTTATAATCCTCCAATGAGAACCCCAGTATTAAATTTTAATGTCTTTTTAGTAGCAATCCTAGCCAAATGTATATTTGACTTCTGACTTCTGTGTTTTGTTGCTAGCCCTAGTCACCGTTGTACTTCTCATGTTAATATCCATTAACTGGAACACTTAGAACTCTAGAATCTGCTTTCTGGAACAGGCACTGTTCTGAACAGGCACTCTTCTGCACCTTGTTGAAAGAGATTTGCTGAGTGTCTTTTGGAAAAAATTAAGCTGGATTTAAGCAAGGTTGTGGCTGAAAAATTTAGAAGACATTGTCTGAACCAAAGTTTAAGCATGGGATGATTCAGCTTCAGGTGCTTCTCAACTCAGGTGTCTTTGAATTGAAATGCAGAATTTATTTGCCTAAATATATGTGGTGAACAGTTGGTTTTTTTTCTGCAAAGCCTATTGGTGTCTCATTCAGCTTAACATATAAACTTACATAGTCTAGTGGAAGAAAATAGTCTTTTGTCTTTAAGCAGCAATCTAAGCCTGAATTTTGAATGTGTGAACAATAGCCTATTTCTGTTTTTTTAAAACAGCTGTTTTTAATGTGATTGTATCTAATTATGTGAACATTTTTCAAATTGTACTAAAAGTGTAGCACAGCTTCTCAGAAGTGGGAATGCATAAAAGCACTTGAGTTCTCAAATCAGTTATATTTTTTAGTGTGTATGTGTATATAATTTATGTGTATATGTATATATATATAATATGGCTGCACAGCAGAGCTGTAGATGACAAACAGTTTTGTTTAGTTTCTTAAGTTATTTAAAGCCATACCTTAAGATGACCTAAAAGGCAAATAGGTTTTGAGTGGCTTAGAAACAAATATAAGTGTACTTTCATTCATTATTTAAGTTCATACTCTGATGGTGGTATTTGTTTACAGGGCATGAGCACAGTCATTCTCTGTTTAATGGTGGTCTCGGCCATGGGCACAGCCACGGAGGTCATGGGCACAGCCATGAACAGAAGCATGCCCATGGACACAGTCATGGTCACGGCCATGGGCACTCTCATGGTCAGGATTATTGTCATGGTAAGTACTTAGTTAATGTCCTAGACCATCTTGACTCAATCTAAATGTGCTACTAATGATTTACTGGAATAAAAAAAAGAGAAGGTGCTGGCAGCTTGTTGTGATCGTACATGGAAGTAGTTTCATTAGATGTCTAGTATGCTGTGCCGCTGCCATGTGTTGTGGCTCGTTTTGTGTGTCACTTGCAGTAAGTTCAGTGTTAGTTTTTAAAGGCTGTGATTTACCTGTGGTTTTTGAATGTTCACCTCAATGTTATGTGTTGGCAGAGAGTGTAACAGCTGTATGCGATGGCAATATAATGAAATTATCAAGTGCTCAGCTTCAATTTTCTCATTTAAATCAATAGGCAAAGTTAAGCTGCTTTGCTAGTGTTCTCCATTTGAATAATCTTACAGCTCAAGATATTAGAAAATATGAACACACAAACTTTGAGTACTTATGGATTGTTAGTTGTACTTGGTTTGTGATTTCAAATAAGATTTTCCCTATCTTGTGTAGTTGTAATCTGTTTTAAAAAGGTGGTTGTGAAAAAGGTGCTTGTTACCTTAGCTATGTTTAAATCTTTTCTATAAAGGCACACAATCTGAGATGTTCACGCAAAATATGATCAGTAGCCTTCACTATGGGAGAAGAGGCAACCTATTGAAACAGTGCAGATGAAAGCCTTGTGGTGTTGCAGGGTTGTCAGTCCTTCCTACCTAAGCCATAAACTAGGATCTGATGTGACTAAAAATGTGCACATTCAGAGCAGGGAATAGTGTTGCAACTTGCAGACAGGAGCTGACAGTGTAAAAATACTTACTTGTCTCTTCCTTGCTATTCTTAGCAGAAAAGTGGTGCTTGTTTTCCAGGAGTTCTCCTGGAATTTGGTTGGAAAGTAGGAACTCCCCACTTCTGCTTCTTCCTTGCTTTCCCCACACTGCCCACCCCAGTGGAACAGTGAATGTAGCTGTGTTGTGCAATTTGATATTCAAATCAACTTGTGTGTAATATATTGTGTATCCTCACTAGAAGTCATTTGCTATCCTTTAACAAGTTTTTCTTAACATATCTTTCTAGTGTGTTCCACAGAGGCATTAATCTGCTTGGATGAGAGGATTTTTTGCTTAGTTCTACCTTCTCCAAGTCTTATCCTTGTTGTTGTGCAATTAGAAATTTCCAAAAGGAAGACCATAACAGAATGTACCACTAGAGAGAGCCTTTGTCTAGGTTAATGTATCAATAATTGTCTTCACAGATGACCATTCTCTTGAAGCAGTGGCTGGATCCAGCAAACAGATTTTACAAGGTATGATGATAATAAGTATAATAGTTTATTGGTTTTATCGAGGCCTGCCTGTCATTCATTTGTTTTAGAGGGTTCGTCTGGATAAATGCCACATTTTTCACAGAGGAGCTATTCTATGAAATCCCATTCTGTTTACAACAGAGCAGTGCTGTACCCTGTGCATGTGTAATTCACTGAAGTGTAAATGTAATGCAGTGTCAACACAGTTTAAAAGAGAGATCCCAAAATCTGGAATTCAGCTTCTGTTACTGGTGCTGAAAAATCAAATAATGAAAAACTAGGAAAGAGTGGTTAAAAGCAGAAACTTAAGGACCCTAATTGCAATGTATGTTCTGGAAAATGAAGAACAGTATGATTAAGATAGAATGTATTTGAAAAATGCAGATAGATATAATTGTTAAAGAGTATCTAAGCTTAAAACTTATCTTTCATCAAGCTGTTAGAGTTGGTTTAAAGAAGGTGGTAATTTGTGATGCAAAGACAATCACTTACCAGACAATCATTCACAAAGACAATCGCCAGCAGATCAATGTCCGGGGAAGTCTCTGAGCAGCTATTTTGAAAAGATAGCACCTCAGTTTTATTGCTGAGCATGTGTGAGATGGTATGGAGTATCCCCCTGGTCTGTTTGGGTCACCTGTCCTGGCTATGTGCCCTCCCAGCATCTTGCCCCCATCAGCCTACTTGCTCTGGGGCAGTGAGAAATGAAAGGCCTTGATGCTGTCTAAACCACAGCATCATGCAGCCTGCTGTGGAGAAAACCTGGCTTGTCCCAGCCAGACACAGTACAAATGTAGGCTTGGAAAAATCACTTAAGAGCTGATTTGTAGTTGGATGTTGTTTTTACAAGAGGCTGGAGACTTGTATTCAAAAAGCTGTTTCTGAGTGACTTCCCATCATCGCCAGCAGAGAGCTCCAAAGGCTAAATTTTGGCTAGCTGCAAAGTACATCTTTGTATTTTAAGGCAGTGTTGTTCTTCAAAAGAAGAGTGAAGTTTTTCATGTCTGCAGCAGTGTTTAATTCTCAAAACTATTTGTCTTGGATTTCTTTGCCAAATAACTTCTGGATGATGTCGTCAATGAAACAGTAGCATGTTTCAAAGCTTTGCAGAGCTGTTTCTGTTAATAGTCTGTTCATCTTAGCACTGTCTGTAGGCACCAGGGAACGCGAGTTTCTTTACTATAATGTGAATGAAAAAAATCTAGCTGCATCTGTTAGTCACTGTTTAAGTTGATAGCCATGCTATGAAATACCCCTTACTGCTAACTGAAGAAAAGAATGTAAATTCTTCAAGTGGTCTATATTCTAAAAATATGTTAAAATCTTGTGATCACTTTGTGTGCTTGACCCAAAATTGACCACAAATTAAACAGGTATAAATCATGTTATCTAGTTCTTGCAACTCTTCTCTGTAAAATGTCTTTGAAATACACTCTTTGAAATACATGTCTTTGAGAATGCCAAGTTGTAATGATATCAATTGATCTGTTACAGGTGTATTTCTACACATTGTGGCAGACACACTCGGAAGTATTGGTGTGATCATATCTGCTATATTGATGCAGAACTATGGTCTAATGATAGCAGATCCTATTTGTTCAATGCTGATAGCACTACTTATAGGTGTAAGGTAAGTGTTGCTATCCCTGATATTTGGTAGTACTTCTGATGCTAGTTACAGCAGAAATTATAGCTCAGAAGAAAAGGTTTGTCTGTTATGCTGATGACTTACAATGTTTGCTTTTCTTCCGAGAGGGGTATGTTATCTCTCTTCTGTACAACTGTTCTGATGAGCTCTTGTATGAGCTATTTTCTTTCCCTTTTCTACAGCCACAACTTTTGCTCTTAGATCTGCATATTTTGGCCATTTGCATAATACTACAAAAACGTCTTTCAGGTTCAAACTGTAGATAGCTTCCTCTCTGTATTTAGTACATGCTTATATAAACCAATGTACTCCAGTAAATGGAGCAGAATGGCTTCAGGGCAGCAGAGTTGAGCCTGCTGGCACAGGATGTGCCCTTGTCCTTGACAAATCAAGGCTGGTAGGTTTTAAATTTTTTTTTCTTTCTCTGGTGAAAACTGTCTTTTCCTTTGTTTTTGTACTCTGAGACATCCTTATTCCTTTTAAGACCTGATGGAAATGCTTCAAGTAGCTCTAGACTTTTCCAGTTGGTGCTTACCAAGATCATTGTAAATGTGAAGCTATTTGGATTAGACTGGACAAGCAAATATTTCATTGAGTGACGCTGTTATTGAGGTTTTCTGGCAGTAGTTTCAATGGCGGCGCAGGGCAGCGTGCCTCAACTCCAGTTACAACCTAATAACTGAACACCTTTGTCTCTTCAGCAGTGGTGAATGTCATCTGAACTGCAGCTACTTATGCTTATACCATGTATGGCATGTTTACAGCATATGCATGGCAGCATTCACAGGATTATTGATGTGAATCTCCCCATTTATCAAAGTAGGGCAGCGTGCTTCAGACACAACGCCCACAGAAATCTCTCTGCTAGAGATCACTATTATCATTTTAATATACACTCTTAATATTTTAACTTAAACATCTTGTAATTTCATAAAGGACAAATTATTACATGCTACTTCTATTACTGAAATTTCAAAATATGGGAAAGGAAACGTGCAGGTTACCAAGAGGGAAGAAACTATTGCTGAGGTAAAGGTAGTAGCTGAGTAAAACACAGGTTTCCATACACTTAGATTACTGTACATAGATTAAATAATTGTCTGCTGTTTCAAAGGAATATTCGTCCATTTTTTCTGTGTCCCTTTTACTAGTTAAACCAACTTTGTTAAGGTGAAGTGGGGTGAGAGTGTGTGTGTGCCCCAACAAGTGGACCCCACGCATGTGTGTTTAAAAATCAGGATCTGTTCCATAATCAGGATCTTTGTGACTCTAATAAAGGAAGCACAGTTTTGAGTCAGAGATGCAAAAGCCAGTCTGATAAGGTTGTCCAAAAGTTTTAATGGCGTTTAGGGACTTCACCCTAGTTGGAACTGTATCCTCCCAAGTTATTGCTTAATGGTCTGATTTTCACCTAGAGTCTGCAGGGCATGAGTAGGGGGTAGGTTTGATCCTGGGCTCTTTTTTCCCTGGTGTTTTGTTTGTTTGGTTGGTTTTTTGTGGTTGTTGTTAGTTTTTTGGGAGTTTGTGTTGTTTTTCTTTTCTTTTAATCTGTATTCTTTCTATGATACTTATATATCGAAAGAAGGAATAAAGCCAGAACACAAATCCTTATTCCCTTTTGTGGAACTTTTTGAGAAAGCAGTTGCAGGAGAGTGCAGAGGGAAGTCATTGCTCTTAATCTAGTGTTGCTTGTGTCTATGTGAGATAACTGTTCATTCATTCTTTTACTGAGTGTTTGCTTTGCTTCAAGGTTGGGGCAGTTCTCTCAGATTTACTTGAGTCTTGCCTGCTTCTGTTAGTGGGTGTTCTCTGTTCAGGTTTCTAAAATGATGGTCACACTTGCCAAAAGAAATCACACAAATACCTGTATAAGATGACTAAAAAGCTTACTGCTGCAGTATAAAGCTGTCCAGACTCTACTTTGTAACCTGCTTTGTCTTGTGCAGAGGCAGAAGGGTTGAGCAACGCTTCCTCAGAGAAGTCAAGCAGTGCTTTTAAATCAAATGGTTGAGCCTTGCTGTAGACAACGTCTCTAATTAGTGCAAATTGTCAGCTGCTGACACGGTGTCTCTGTGTTGCTCCTGTGATCCTTCACTAAGGCTGCTCTAGGGTGACATTCTCTGCCTAACACCTCCTGAGTTAGCACAGAACATTCTGACTGCATAGTGAAAATCTGCTGTGGGATTTGAGTTTGCCTGGATGCAACCACTAGTATCTAATGAACCCTTCTTTAATTACTTTTGGTACTATCTCATGCAAGTGTCCATTTAATTATAAATAGGACAAGCTTAAAATAGACAAATCTTTCTTACTAACATTTTTAAGGTTGCTTTTTTTAACAAAAGCTTGGCTATTTCATACTTGTTCAGGTTGACACTTGAAGTTTTTTCCAAGGTGTTGTCCTCATAATTGTATGTGCCTGAATCAATGTACAATTTCTCAAGTCTCTAAACTGCTTTTCATATTTAAAACTAAATATTCATTTAGTTTTTAGCCTTAGCATTCTAAGCCTTATTCAGAACGTTGAAGCAATTTTAGTATTTCAGTCAGCTATGTGAAATTAGACACCACACAAAAGCCACAACACTAGTATAAATCAAGTTTGTCTGAAACCACTATTAGACCCACATGTTTCTAGAAAGGCACAGTAGACTAAATCTCATACTAGATTGCATAGGGTATGCAGACTACATATTAAGTGGTCAAAGAAATGAGGCAATTTACATTTAGTGAAGTTGTTTCCATGGGTTACGTAATTTTTTTGCATAAAATCTAAAGCTTCTTGAACATGATATAATATGAAAGAGCTTTGGGGGAGGGTGTGCCTGTACTGTTTGGGATATATGCCTTTAATGTTTGAGGCATAACAATATGAAAAAATTACTTTTTTAAATGAAGTGCTGCATTCTCTAAGATTCAGAAGCAATGTTTTACAGCAAAACTCCTCCAAACTAGCATGTTTGTCTTTGGTGTTGTTTTAAGCCATTATTGCTAAATGTCATGCACTGCTTTTATTTACAGGGTAATGGTACCTGCCAACCTTGCTTGAGAGTCAAGGTACTATGTTGTTATGAGAACAAGCAATTCAAAATCAGTAAAGTAAATTTTAAACCTGTGATCCTTGTCTTGAGCAAAGCTTGCGGTCTGATTAAAATTGCCATTGCCTAGTAGAAAAATTTTATTAAAGTTCTCAAATAGGCCGACAGCCTTGGCACTGCGGATATGGATGGTGGTTGGGGAAAAACAAAGAATTTGGAAATCTGGCTGTAGATTTTCAGCTATGGTGTTTGAAGAACCATAGCTGGTCTTGATCCTTAGCAATGTTTGTTTACCTTCCACAAAATCTATCACAAATATCCTCTCTTTTCTGTAGTGCTGAGAGCACTGAATGAATTTCCTGCTGCGCTCTGAGTACAATGACGGTGAAAAGGGTTCTTTACCCAGTGTTGTTTTCAGCCCTGCAGTCTGAGATTATAAGAATGCCAGGGTCTTTCCTAGCTATGCCTACAAAAACAGTGGCATAAACAGGATGGGACTGGAATGGATATGAATATTATCTGAATGTGATGCAGGTTAATTAAGAGTTTGATGCTTTCACTCTTCATTTTTAATCAAGCCTTGTGTCACTGGCAGGCTGGATTTATCAGATTCATATAAATAGCTTTTATCTGGTTGAACACCTTTCACTTCTTCTGTTACTGTTATGTGCAACTGTGATGTGCTGTAACATTAGCTGCTTTTGCAGTTCTAGCTTTTTCAGAGGATATGTTTTTATCCCAAGTCTTGCTGTGGGTTAGCACCTCTTTCAAATTCCATTGTCTTGTAAAAGAGTGTGGTATTTTAGACTTAAGGCTTGGTAATCAGGAGACCAATGGAAAATTGAGTCTGCTTTAGCAGCAAAGTTTAAAGACTCCTTGTGCGGGACAAAGCTTTCCACTTGATGAGCATTCAGCATTATTTATTTTCCTCGATGATCTTATAATTAAAAACAAACAAGAGGGGAAGTACCAGTGCAATAGTTGCTGCAGAGACAGCCATGTATTTTTTTCACTAATGATTAATCCAAAAAAAAAAGAAAAGGAAAGCTTTGTCAAATTCTCAGCCTGCTTAGTTTTGTGATCTTTCGTAATGTTTTCTTCAGTCACATGAGATGGAACTGATATTTCTAGTGCCTCCTTGTGATTAAATATTACTGTGTTTAGTTAATGTTTGAGAAAAGAGCATAGTGTGTGGAGTTTTGGTTTTTAAATTAAAGGTTTTGTACTTAAGTAGTATGCCTGAGACAATGGAAAACATCAGACATCATCAAACTGGATTCTGTTGTTTGTGGTGTTAGTTTGGCTTACAGTAAGACTGTCTTATGAGATGGTATCCCGTTGGATGCAGAGGGGTATCCATGGCCGGCTGTGCTCTTAACAGCATTTGTGAGGGCCTATCACATCCCTGCAGCTGTCCTTTGGCCTTTTCAGCTTTTCAAAAGATGACATTTGTATCTGAACACTAAGACAGAGGAGGAGGGTGTGACCCAGGATATGCTTCAACTTCACCAACAGTATCAAGCCACATCCTGATTTACCTCTATTCTTTGGACTTTTAAGATGGTTTTGTTTCATAGCCTGTCTCCAAATGTACTGACAGTTAATTTCCCTTCCATCAGATAACGTACATCAGTTGTTTTACCAAATAATGTAAATAAGTTGTGCAAAGTAGACATTTTTTGTTAGATTCCTGGCTTTTTTCACTCGTAGTGGTATGTTTCAACAAAAAGGCAGGCTATTACATTCTCCATTCCTTTAGTTGTTTCCCTGGGGAAAAATATTCAGCCTGTATGTGTGTGGTTTTTGAAGCCTTTGGGTGCATACGTTACAGGGACCTTGTTAAATTTATGGAGATGGAGTCAGTGTTCAAAATTCCTGCATTCAGTTTGCATCCGGAAGTTGTGTATTGGTCTTTCAAGGTTTTTATTAAGAAGCAAACCTGCATTTTAAATAGTGAGTTAAACTGAAATCAGTTCATCAGTGGAGTGTTTTGGCAGCTCCAGCTCTCCTTGATGTAATGCTTGTGACATGGACATTATTTAGTGAGATGGGTCCATTAATGAGAACCTTTTTTTCCCTAAACTTCTGTAATCCACTCTAGAATGTGACACTCCAATTAAGCTTCCCTTAGACAGATTGACAGTTATTGCACTGCTAAATGTTTGTCTTGGTGACAGGTCCAGTTTAGGCAACTCCTGCATGTCCCTAATTGCTTCTTCCTATTTCTGAACTGATGCCTTGGTAGCAGCACAGCTGTGTGAGGCCATGTGATGGAGTGCACCAGGCAGTGACTTTGGCTGGAACCACCATTGTGCCTGCAAGAAGACTTAATTTTAGGGTGATGGTTTTTCCAGAGGTTCATTAGACAGGAGTCACACACCCTCTAAGTCCCTCCCGCCACTGGCTAAGGTTTAGCCAAGGGGTGAGCTGAGCAGTCAGTCAGCCAGCACTGCTTCCATGGACTAATGGAACCACCTGTTTAAAACTGGTTAGGTCACATTGTCCACCATCTGCAAATACACAGCTGGTCTGTGCCATGCATTCCACATCACTTCATGAGATTTTAAACAAAGTTTCTGTGGTTTTCTCTAAGAACTAGCCTGGTTAATCTCTTACAAATGTTTTGCAATCCTATTACTCTGTGTACTGCAGCTGTGATGCCAGTGCTGAACTCTGAAATTCAGCTTACCATTTCTGAAATATATAGTCACGTTTGGTCCAGAGTGTTCAGTGACTTGTATGCTCTTGAAATTAAATTGCTATTTAAGCTTTGGTGTTGGGTTATAGATATTTGTTATCCTCTTGAAAATGTTAGAATGCTGTACTGAACCAGGCATGGTGCACTGTTCCTAAACAAAAAAGGTACCATGCTGAATACTTAATAAGAGTATAACTTTTTAGTGGTAGCTTCAGGGTATGGGCTTACTAGTCTCTTGGTTTTATTAAAAAAAAAAAAGTAATAACAATAAAAAAGGGTATTAAATGTCTACTTAGTTATCTGATTAAACAAGACCACTTGGCCAAGAGGGAACCTCTAATTGCTTCCAAATGTTTAACCCCTGAGTTTGGATGAGACCCTACACTTAGTTCACTGCAAGAATATGCAAAGTTGTCTGTTTCTGACAAAATAACTTTGTTATAGATGGACTGCTCCACACTGATTTCATTTTATGATTGCTCCATTATTATCTTAGTTCATAAGAAAAATATGCCTTAAGCCAAACACAAAGGCAAACCCCATTGCAGTTGAATATTGTTATGATTACTTGTGAACGATTTGCCATTGAAGTAGGTTTTGAGCTATACTTATCAGCTGCTTTGTTGTATAACTTCTAAGATACTAAGACATCTCATCTCAAATCCCATGATTAAACTATTAGTCTTTTGTGATCAGCCATTGGGTAGTTCTGTGGAAAATGTGAGGGAGAAGTAATCTTGCCTTTGGTAAGACACCACAGCAATTTTGTAAATCCTTCTATTTTCTGTACTAGGTTTTCATGGCAACACTCTCAGCTTCTGGATGAACAACTAAAGAAGAATTTCTCATGAGTGTTAAGGAACCTTAGGTTGCATCTTTTGAAAATGTAATAATAGCTAGTTTCCTTTTTTCTTTCTAGTATTGTTCCACTTTTAAAAGAATCCATTGGGATTTTGATGCAGCGAACTCCTCCTTCCTTGGAAAATGCCCTGCCTCAGTGCTACCAGAGGGTGAGCTCTTAAGCCATTTTTGCTCATCAAGCTGCTGGCTTATTGAGCCTCAGCTGTGTGTATGAGGATATTTTATGATGTTTTTTCAGTAATGCCTGTAAAGGTTCTTTAGAATATACAAATGGAGGTACTAGTTTAATTAATGTTTTCCTGAAGTCCCAAATTGTATGTAGCTTCTCCTTAGTTTGTGTTTTAAAAATGTGCTATGTTAGTGAAGAAAAATAGATCCTGAAGCTTTTCCTCCCAAAGTCTTCTGTGCTTATACAAAGTGCAAAATGTTTTTCTGTTTTGTTCAGTTTTTGTCTCCCACAAAATCTAGTTCTTAGTAATGTGAGGTGGAGTAACATTGGAAGTGTATTTGAGTATACATAGGTTACTCTGGATTTGACCTGTTCTCCTGTTTAACTAATCTATTACAGTGTCATGCCCTGAACACTGAAGTGTCTTTGCAAAGTTAATAGGAAGCACTTGTAGGAATGCTGTCTGCCCTGGGGGAGTTACAGATTGTAATTGGTCACTTGGAGGGTTTGCTACAATTGGACAGAGGAAAAAGAAGGGGGTTGGCAGGACAAACCTAAGCCCTCACAGAATATTTACAGAAGTGTTAATGTATTAATATAAATTATATATGAATATGTTTTCATTGAAGTTAGAATCTCACAATTTTTTTCATGGCAGAATTCCCACTTTTGCAAAAATTGCAGTTTTACTTTAATGCCCTCTCAACTGCAGTAACTGACTTTTTTCTTTTGGACACCTCTATTTTCAGAAATGGTTTCCGTAAAATACACGTAGAATGTAAATGCATGGTACAAAATCATGGCATATACACAAATCTGAATGATTTCACCTTCCTTAGGATAACCGAGATAGTAATGAGAAATTTTGCTAAAAGATCACAATTTGCACAGTGAACTAGAAGGAGAAGAATGCATTGGCTTTTATAATATCTTCTGTAAAAAACATAGTATAGACAAACATTTTCTGAAATACATTTTCTGAAATTTGCCTGTATTTTTAGGTGCAGCAGTTGCAAGGAGTTTACAGTTTACATGATCCACATTTCTGGACCCTCTGTACTGATGTTTACATAGGGACTTTGAAATTATTAGTAGCTCCTGATGCTGATGGAAGGTGGATTCTAAGCCAGACTCACAATATTTTTACTCAGGTATGTCTTATCAGTGGAAATCACATCTCAAAACATAAATTGCCTGTCACGTGATGTGACACTGTAATTCTTATCAAGCAAAATTAAATGTTTCTGGGTTTGGAATCTGTGTTTTGGAAAGCTTTTCTGCTCCAGCTGTATAGAACAATTTCAGAATACTCAGTTGTGTAGATGGAATTACTGTACCTCTCTGCATTCGCTTTTGATGCCACTTAATGGAAATAACACCTCAGGTGTATCAAATTGGGTTGACCTATATTGACCTATGAGGAACCAAGAAAATAGCTGAGGCTTCCCTTGGGATAGGGCTTCCAACCAAAAACTGGACCTATTCAAGCTTTTCACTGCATTGGCTGCTTGCACATGTGATGACTTTCTTGCCAAAATCATAATGTAGAACTGGTTTGAATGACAAAATCCTGTGTTACGCTCTTGTACTTAGCTTCATTTTAAACCGACAGCTCTTCAAGCAGCTTACTTTTCAGGAAGTTAAACTTGTACAAAAGAAAGTAAGAATTGCTTTTGTGCAGCTTCACGAATGGCAGTGATTTAGGATGAATCAGAGGAGGTAATGTAGCAAAGCTAATGCTAATATATCATTACTTGACTGTGTGAAGAACTCTGTATTCACACTGTGGTCTCAGTGATCGATGTGCTAAATGTGGGAGATGAATTACAGATAAATAAGACATTGAGGTTTTTTGCTAGGTAACTTACTGCTGTGAACTGATGTTCAGGACAGGTAAATTGCTTTGGCTTTACCGGGTTTTTAACTCTCCTTCCCTTCTCCATAGGCAGGAGTAAGACAGCTTTACATACAGATTGATGTTGCAGCCATGTAGTGAATTTCTGGAATTGTGCTGTTGGACCAAAGTTTTCAGTACTGTACTGGTACAACAACCTACTTCTCGAGACAGAGCCTGCCTCCACCACTGTTCTGGAATCGACTGAAGAGATTTCTGCCCTTGGGCTATGGGTGGAGTTCACTTCTAAGGAGTAAATATTGAATGAATGTTATGGACTTTGGGTCTTGGTTTTTTTGGGGCCCCCAAACTTGTAAGTTTTTGAGGGGTTTTTACTTAATAAGATTGCGGTACTGGAAACCCTGTCATGTCTTCAGTAAAGCTGCTGAAACCACTGCTCATTCCCATAAAACCAGTGTTATCGACAATTGGAAACTTGTTTTGTAGATGATGTCACAATGGCTGACATGCTTCAATATAATTGTATGTTTGTACAATTGTTTGTACTTTGCAAACTTAATGAACCAAACCATATTGGGTTTTCAAAGTGCCTTTTATATCAGGAGAGCTATTTGCCAGCATAAATATGGAGCATCAAAGGGTTTTATTACTTTTACAAATAATCTTGTATGCAGTCTGATTATTTACTAGTGATGTATGTGGGGGGGTTGTGTACTTGCATAACTGTAGATGTTAGACTTCCATTATACTTGCATCTTACCAGACAGAAGAATTCTAAATGTAAAAGACAAAGCTGTTGTGAAGAGATTTGCTTCCAAAATAAGCTGGGTATTTTGTTACACATGTCTTGTGAAAATTATTTTTGTCAAAATATTAATATTTAACTCCAATTCTTAGTCTCTTCATACTGTTGAAAGTAATGAGACACTACATGATGCTACTCATGTTTATAGTCACTTAAGAAACAGACAGCTGAGGGAAGATGCTGGTGATGGAAGCAGTGCTTGAAGTTTTTCATTTTCCAAATCCTGGTGGAAAAAACTAAATCTCGAAATTGTTTGTGAAAGCTTAAATCTCCTTGATTTTAATAGGTTGTAATAATTTTTATTAAAGTGATTGGTGAGATAATTTTTGCCTTTCCAAATACTGAAAATAGTTGTTCCTGGTGGCTATACTCAAAACAGAAATAAGGACCATGTTTTATATTTAAGATTATGCTTTTCCCAGGTTGACAAGTCTGATATCTTTGACTATCTTACTGTAGCTTTTGTATGTTTTCATGGGGGAGAAAGTTCTTAGTGCAGCATGGCTTGGTTGGTTGGTTTTTTTTCCAGAAACATTAGTCTGTCATATTTTTCTAGCATTTATAATCATTTTGCTCAGATCTGAGTGTTGTTTTCAAAACAAATCTGCTATACTTTGTATTACAGATGATAGTTCCACTATGCTGTAGTTGTTAACTTATAATGGAAGACTTTTTAAGAGGACATTTTCCAAACAGAACACTGTGGAGTAAAAAACAAGGCAGGCATTTTTCTGATAAATCATAGCTGCCACTGACTGGTATGGATTTTAAGTATTTTTTTGGTACCTGTTATGTGGTAATAGTGAAATCAAGGCCCTCTGAAGCTGACAGTGTCTGTGTAGTAAGTGCTGGGCACTACAAAATTACTGAAGGTTGATTTGCAGAAATGTTTGCCACTGATATTGCTGAATTCATAGCAGATATGAAGAGTTTCTTGCATTCACTCTGTTGTTCCTATAAAGCACCTGGACTTTGATTTCTTCTCGTGTGAAAAAACAACAGTTGCCAAACTGATAGGTGGTTCCTGACTTTTCCAGATGGGATATTGAAACATGAATGTTGATTTTGTACAGAGCTTAGGGGTGTACTCTTGTGCTTGGAACCAAAAACTGGATGCAAAGAAAAATAGCAGTACAAAGCCACATATAGTACTGCTTTTAAGCTTTATAGTCTCTTCCAGCCTTCAGATCCTTCTTTATCCCTGTTGCTGGTTTCCCATCCTGTTGGCTGCTCCTGGGGATGTGGGTGCAGAGTGCCCTCTCATCTGGCTGCACCGCTCCACATCTCTCTTCTGGCCTCCTGCCTGGCGCTCTGTCAGGCTCTCTCCCCATCCCACCTTGCAGATCCCCTGCCTGGCCCAGACTTTCCTGACTGAAAGATGGGATCTGGGAGTTACACAGCACAGGGTGGGTGCAACAATCTGTTGAGCAGATTTGAGCATTGCAGTTTAATATACCATGTGCATGTATGTTCACAGAAAAGGTGATTAAAATCTGGTTGTGATTATAGGGTGGAGTTACTGTTTTGTAGTGTTACTGCATATAGACTGCTGCTTGTTGGCTGACAGCATGACTTCCTCATTTTTCAATAGTTAGTGTTACTGCTATTTGAGGCTAGAGAAGATCAACTGATACTACTTTAAAGGCAAGCACCAGCCAACTTCAATGCCATTGTGTCATGATCCAAGAGCAGGCTTGGTTTAAATTTTTATACCAGCATGTTTTGGGACTGGGTATTCCTGGACTTGATAAAATACTGTAGTGCTGCCCTAGTCACTGAGCTTGGCCACTACTTTAGTTTTCTTAATGAAAAGACAACTGCTACTATTTGTTCCCAAGTGACAATCTGGCCAAGTGGCAGTTGGGTTTTTTTGATGCTGGTATTTTTTTAAATGTACATCTACAGACTTTTTTAATATGGCAAATGGAGTGAAAAAGCCTATAAGCCAGTTATAATTATAAAAACAACTTTAATTACTTTTTTATTTTTTTTGCTTATGATTTATCAGATTGTTGGAAGGATATGTACAAGTCTGAGTTTTCTAACTAAGACAGCACTTCGTTATTTTTAAACTTGGTGTTTTATAGTAAGAAATGTATCATTTGTTTGTCAAATATAATTGGGGATAGTGTAGGGAAGTCAGATTTAAAATAGACTTTAAGCCTTTTTAGGCTTTCTGAAAAAGGATAAGTATCACAAAATGTTACAGAAGACAGTATATGACATGTTCAGTAGGTAACTACAGTCATATCTAGTATGTCAGTAAACCGAGTGACATCAGATTTATTTTTTTCACTTGCTGAGGGGATACTTGCTCAGGTTTTAGGAGAGTACAAATCACGCAAATGACAGTGCAGCTTTTCTTACCCTGAGAGCCAAAGGACCATTACTTTGTGTTTTGCTAATTACCTAACACTTGGCTGCTTATGTAACACTTTGCTTTTGACACTTTATTGGAGATGCATGGCATCATTTATACAAAGCTTTGTGTGAGTGGCTGACATCCAGAGATGGATGAACGGCTGCAGATCATCTGCTAAAACTCAGCTTTCTGGTATTCACTACTGAATTTTGAACGAAGTTTTCAATTTATGGTTTTCTCATGTTTTCACGTAGCTGAGCTTACTATGGGGTTAAACGTAGTCTGTCTTTGTGGTTTGTTTTTTTCTGTAACTGAAACCAGTAACTTACAACCCTGTTGTCCCAAAGACCAAGCCTGCAAACTGCACGATTTTTACCGCACCTACAGCAAAATAAGAAGACAAATGCTGCAGAGTGTCTGTATGAAAATGCCCCAGTGTTTTTTATGGTAAATAACAGTGGAAGAAAACTACTCTTATGAATATGCACAGTGAAGACTGGTCCTTTATAGGCTAATCCGGTAAGTCCACAGATATGTACAGACTGGCTCCTTAGATCAGCTGGGCCCCTACAGAGAGCTGAGTTACTTGTGTGATTTGCTAAACTAAGGCAAAAAGTGCAAGAAGCAAATAAATGACTCTGGTTTTTATGTAATACTGCTTAGTAAAACAAAAGTTTAGTTGCATCATTAGTAAGAGCTGCTTACACTATTTTTACATAAAAATTGAAGCTGCTGCTACTAATAAAATGGACATTAGTGACTCAACATTCCTAATTTTTTTTTTAAGTAAAACTGGCTTTAAAGGTGAAGGAAAGTAAGGGTATCTCTTTTTAACTGTTGTAAGTGAACCTGTTTTGGGAATTCAGACAAGATGCAAGAGGGGGGAAGCTGCTGCTGACCTGCAGTTTTCCACCCTTTGCACACACTCTGCATTCAGATTGTAAAGTCTATGGCATTTCTCTCATAGTGCAGATTTCAGTTGCAGTTGCACAGTGCAAATTTTCAGTTGCATGCTTCTGTAAAATGTAAACTCTTCTCTCTCTCCATGAAACAAGGTCTTTAAATACCAGTTCAGAGCAACAGTTTTATTTAATAATTAAGCCCTGTCCTGTTTCTTCCAGAAGCCATCAGACTGCCACTTGCTATGATTCTTGATTATCCACCCCTTTAAGCAGGATTTTCTTTTTTCTCTTTTTTAATAATCTGTCTGATCCCTAATACTGACTCAGTAGTTAATTCCTCCTTTACACTTCTACTCCCTTTTGGATTTGTCCCCCATTCAGGCTTTGTTGCAGTGACCATCCCTGTTGGGACTCCATTGGCCAGACACTGCTATAATGTGAAGATGCCAGTCATGCTTTGCTGTGCCTGGCATGTGAAGACTGTCTTGCTGTGTGCACACACTGCTTAATCTGCTTCTCTGTTTCAGTGAGCCACAAAAAGTTCCTGCCTCTGTGGTACTTTGGCGGAAATAATAAGTAAAAGGAGGTGGGTATTTCACTTCCCATGTGCATTGGAGTCTCTCACGTGTATGCTGGGATCTTGTACAAGAGTTAAGTGAATGGCTACAGTATTTTGGCTGAAGTGTGAAATAATGTGAATGAAGCAATTGCCAAAATCATTCCTGGTAGCAGAGAGCATATTGCTTACCTTTACCTTTAAATTACAGGAATTACTCTTAGCAGTGAGCTAAAGTTGAATAGCACAGTGTGTCAAAGTACCTGTGAAGAAATCACAAGGCAGCTCACTAAAATTCTGAAGACTCTGTATGATTTGTTCTGGAATGCTAATGTTAGTAGCTTAGCCACGACTTGTCCCAAGTGCAATATTAAGAAATTTTTAATGTAATCTTTTCTACTTGAATACAGTCTATATAAAATGTTAAATATCCTATATTGCTGACAAGATATGGGATCAAATTTCTTTCCAATAAATCTTCAGTTTAAAAAAAAAAATGCATACAGGTCTGCTTTGTTCTCATCTTACCTTGAAGACTAGTTGAAATAGTGACCACCATCATCCACCAGCTGATTTTAAAGAGAATTCTTGCAGTCTGCTGAGACTTGGCTTAAGGTTAATTGTGGTTGTTGCAGTTAGAGTCCAGCCCTTTGTGAATGCTAGCATTAACATGAAGAAATCCAGTTCTATTTTAAGTTGCAGCCTTCTGAAATAAGAAATTCTGTGCAGCTTCTCCGTCTGTTTCACCAGCTGATCAAAGGGTAAGTTCTTGTTTTTCTCGGTTTAGAGCATTCTCACCTGTCTGTATTCACTCTCCCAAAGTAAAGATGGACACAGACCTAACAGGTTTTGCATGCTAATGGTTTCTATTGGTGAGAGGACTACTAAGTTTCTGGGAAGTTGAAAAGCGAAATTTAACATCTAATGCACTTACAACACTGTATGGCAGTAGGCTTAATGGACTACAGCACAAGTGATGTCCCCTTGATCACAAGTGATGCTGATGTGTTTAAAACTTTCTGGAGGGTCTACATGGTAGAAGCATATACTTGCAGCCTCCGGTGAAAGCAGGTCCATGTTCCTACAGTGCTGTCTTCTGAAGCAATATGCAGTGTAACTGCCGTTAGGCAAGTCTTAAATATTCACAGGAATAGCTTTATGCTGTTAGGAAATTAAAGATGGAATAAAAATGTAAATGCCTCATTTTTATTTAAGTGGTCCTTTGACATGCATTATTTTCAAAACTGGAACTATCTACAGAGAAGAGCTTAAGCATCTCTAATTCCAGAGGATGCATAGTGCCTGTAACAATTAAGGAATGTAGTGGACCACCCAATTCCACACTGGACATCTGCTGTAGTGTGCCTGCTGCAATCTTCTCATCTGGAGCACCCACACGAGCAAGGCCAACACAAATTGTGTTTTCAGTAGTTTCTGTAAGAAAGAAGATTAAATGCTTAATTTATTGACTAATGATCCCATCATAAAGGAAAAAAGTACTCAAAGTGCTTAAACCTTAACACTGCTTTCTTAAACCTTCAATTATTAAATTATTGGAGTGGCTCAGAAAGAAGATTATTCTTCAAAGAAAATAAAGCTGTATCTTAAAGATGTTGATAAGGAGGAATGGGAAGGCAGCAGAAGTAGAATATGTAATTCTTTCATGAACTGTATTCACTTTTGGGAAATGGCTGCTTCTGATTATTCTATATAAGGGATAAAAGGAAAAGATTTTCATTTTAACACTATTGAAGGAATAAACTTCTAAAAAGAGGAATAGAGCTAGGTGAATTTTTATTAGAAAAAATTTTATGTGACACAACTGAGTCATCTTTATAGCTGCTGTGAGTTTACCCTTGGTTTCAATAAACATGTTTCACAGTTTGCTCTTGACTACTGTTAAGAATTCAAGGTCAAAATCACAGTTCTGCATCCTTAGATTAACCTAGATTTATGCTGGTATTCATGTAGAGCAGAGCATGACCAGTCTAAGTAAAATGTAGCAGAGATTTTTTTGAAGCTTGACTGATCAAAAATGCTCCAAATCCTTCCACCTCGTGCAACACGAATGGATCAAAGAGCTCATAGTTACAGAGGGATAGAAACAGTCCGTGGTTTCCAAACTGAGGCTTTGACTAAACCTCCAGGAGCCACTTTTGCACCTTCATCTCTGCTCACCAAGCTGTGCCATGTTCAAGCTCAGCTAAATCCATCTTGACTAAGATTTAAAGCAGCCTAAATCCACTCCAGAGCAAGAGAATGCCAAGAGTAAGAGGAAGGGAGTGGAGCCCAGAAGCTCATCGAGGGGTGTGACTGGAGAGGGGTAGTAGCAGACACAAACATTGCAGTCGTATACCTGGTTTTTCTCCTTGGAGCCTCCTGTTTTGAATAATGGCAAGAAGCTGCTCTGCAGCTTGATTCACACTCATGTAGCGCGGTGGCTCATAAATCTTTCTTCCTCTGCCGTGAAGGGAAAGTAGAGAAATTTCACATATAACACATTTCATTATCCCCAGCATTCTTGCAACTTATTTCAAGAGGCCTCTAGACAGCAAATTGAACATAACCAGGCCCAGGCTCTCAGGCTGGGCTTTTTAGACAAGAGTGGAATTTTTAAGGAAGACAGAAGGCTGTTGTGCTCTCGCCACACCTGTGAAACAGCTGGGCCTCCAGCTGGCAGATCATTTGAGTCCTAAAAGCAAATTCAGCTGCTAGAAGCAATATGCAGGTTTTGCAGCTACTCCCAAAAGATGCATTAGGCTTAAATTCAAGGGCAAACGACTGTTTTTCTGTCAAATGCCCTGCAGACAGATGATTACAGACTAGAAATATATTCTTAAATGAAATGCTGCTTTCCTTGCCAACTGTGGACTCAGTCAAACAGATTTTATTTTGAACTCCAGAATAAACAAACCTCAATGATACTGTGAGACTTCATAAACGTTAATTTAGACCAGTTACAGCACGCGTATAAAGGAACCGTTTATATTCACCACTGTCAAAACACACAGATTGCAGAGAGATGAATAAGATGTGGTAAGAGCTTTTTGAATACAGTTAAGCGAACTTAAGAGCATTTTCTATATATTGCTTATTTAACTGTTTAAAAAGGTTGGTACGTATTCTGTGTTTCAGACTGTTTCTAGCCAGTGTTACAGAAGAATAAATTTAGAACACTGTTTCAGATATTAATCTGTTTCAGGAGGTGACAGTAAAGGAATAACACTTCATTCACCAAGCAGAAGGCCTACCCCATTCTGACCTAGTGCTTCTCACAGCAACAGTTACAAAAAAGATTATGCTCTGCTGCAACTCCATTCAGTTACTGTAAATAAAGCCAGGTCCTATTGCAGTGAACAAAAGAGTTCCACTCCTTGTAAGAAACAAAAGACAGCAGCCACTGAGGAGCACGAGAGGAGAAGGCAGGTAAGTTCAGTATTAGACCATGGGCAAAGAACCTTTGTTCCTTGTACAAAAAAAACCTTTGTAAGTGCACTGTGTGTTTCTGTATATTTTCAAAATGGTGACTCACTTCATGAGATTCTCCAGAGACTGCTCCTTCACTTTAATATCTGTAGAACAAAACAGATATTAAAACACAGGTTGCCCACAAACTGCCCACTTAGTTTTCTATGTAGGTAAAAACTTAATTAACGGTTTCTATAAAATTTATAACAAAATTTTATCTATTACAGGAAAAATTGTACTGTTACATGTGTTAATTAATCAGAAAGTATTGTGACGTTATGTGTGCGATTTTACCCAAGACAGGGCAAGTTTCACAGATTTCAGAGCAACATAGCTGAATAAAAAGACAGCTAAGTATACAAATAGCAGGCATATTTACCATGGGATAGCTAAATACCAGCACATTTGGGCATACCAGGGTATTGAGGCTACTCCTAAATCATGAGCACTTTGTGGTCCCCGAAGGTAAAAGAGTATGACTGACCGACAGTGATTACATCACTGGCCTGCAGGAACCTGACTTTCATTAGCACTTCCTTCCTGTCCCAATGAAAATTTAGAACAATCTCCTATTATGGGGGAAAAAAAGGCTTGGGCAAAACTGAAATAGAAGGAGTGAGGGAGGTAAGACTCTGCACAGATGCAGTTTTATGAAACTAATTGACCATAATTCCTCCAAGAGGAATTCGAATGTTACCTGTATTCAGATGTCCCCCAAAAATTATAATTTTTGATAATTTTGAAAGCTGGATACATTTTTAACCTTGGATTTTATAAAAGTATTGCTTAATTATATCATTAACTTATAAACCAAAGTGACAGTGCAAAGCTGCAAGACTGAAAGTGCCCAGTTTACCGAATTGCATATATGTCCATGAAGTCACTTTGAATTCAGAAGTTTATCAGCGCAAACCTTTTTAACATCACATTTGCTTATACAGTAATCCAGTCAGTTGGATAAACACAATACAAAGACCAAAATGACCAAGGGAACGATTAGTTTGGAAATGGGTAGTTTTCAGCTGTAAGTAACAATGAGATGCAGCTACCACAATCCCTGAAATGTGAGATTTATAATGCAATTTTATGGTTTCCAAATTTTTACTCTCTTGCTACTATGTAAAAAAATTTAAAAGGGACACCATAGAAATTATTATACAAAATATCTAAAGAATACTTTGTTTCAACATACTGTAGCTGTAATAATCCTTGTCTGAAGCACTTGTCAGCTCATCCTTCTTTAAAACAAATTACCAGAATTCTGATTTTTAGCCAATTTTGAAAACAAACAACTTTCAAGGCATTGGAAAGTCTGATGTGCAGTGATGCATACACATTTAAAATTGTTTCCTGCTCAGGATCCTCCAATTACCACAGACTTTGTTTTTACTTAAGATATTAATTTATTTAGCCCTGAATGATTCCAGCTGTGTCTAAACTATGATACAGAGAGATATATAACTATATATACAAATAATGCAGGTGCCTTATATTTTATATGCTGGGAGTTGCATAATCCTGAAGGAGTTACTTATAGTAGAGTTTCTCATAAAGTGGCTGTCAGCTGAGGGCTGTTGGGTAGGATAAAGATCAGAGAGCACCGTGGGAGAGCCTGGGACAGTGATGGGGTGGGAGCAGGGTTCCATTTCAGCTCCATGATAGCAAGGATTTTTTAAGCACTGAAGCTTCTCACATGACAACTGCCTTTGGCCAAAAGACCCTTAGATAACTTAGGAAAAAGAATATCACCTTACAAAATACAAACGTGGCTAAAAGTATGATTTAGCTCCCCAGAAAGTTTAAGTGTGTTGACTTAATTAAGTCAACAAAAGATGGCTGCTAGTCACTGCAATCTGCTTGGGATGCTGAGCCAGATCTAGCTCAAAATCTTAGTGAACTTAAGAGCAAAAATGGACCTTCTGCTCCTATTTGACTTCTACAAAGGCATCAGTAGGGATTTTCTGAGAAGGAATTACAGAATTCCTGGCTGCTGTAGCATGAACAACGGCAAATTGACTCTAAGGACCCATGCACTAACACTCCAGTTTTTTGTGTTATTTTCAGAGATACATGTTAGCTGAGAACACGTTGAATCACAGACAGCATCCCGTGCCTGTCACTGCTGCCTCTGAGTGCTGCGTTGGTAATTAAGGAGCCCGGGTAGCTGCTCACCAAGTAAGCACAGGGTGTGCATTCCACTCCGCCTGTTCTTCTCGATCTTGTCAAAAAAGCTTTCTGGCTTCCATGTATCTGTCCAGAACACTATAGAAACTGTCTCTCCAAAACTGTACAACTGTAAAACAAAGCAAATGCAGCAACATGTATATGCAATAAGAAAAAATTAGGAGCATGCAATAATGTTAAAGAACAAGTAATGAACTACCTGTAAAGTTTTTACCTATCTCTGCATTCACCTTTCCAATGTATATTAAACAACTTCCAATATACCTTCTATTCCTTGTTACTTAATTTTGAAGTCCTTTTAAAGGCACAAACTTTGTAAGATTAGCACAGAAAGTATTACTTTTTATTTCTTATTTTGCTTAAGGCTAGGCAACTTCGAATAATGCCATAATACAATGTTTTGATTCTACTGATACAGTAGTATTTAATTTAAAATGACACTTTCCTGCAGTTGAAAGCTCTGTCATGCAAAAGAAGCTACAGTCTAAGGAGACAGTGGATGTGAAGATCTGAAGAAAGGACAGATTGCACATGAAGCAAAGAGGTGCAACATTGTTTATGCACATATGGTAAGAAGAATATTGCTAGCAGATTGTATGTCGAGCATACTCACTGATTCTGTTCTCAGTCTTAACACATTTATTACTGTGAGTCCCTAATCTCAGTGAAGACATTTGAAGCAATAGTCTTGCCAATCACCTCTGGTGATGCAAAAGTGAAAGTCATATGTAACCTAAGGCAATATTTGGCTTCAAAGTCTTTGTAATCAAGCTGAAAAAGGGCAAAACCATGCATCAATTTTGGTCAATTCAGCTCCAGAACAGGGCCGTCCCAGATGGATTTTTACAGCTTGCCAATGTTCTGTCTGCTCAAGCCCACCAGAGAAACAACAGCTAGATGGTCTACCCTTCCCACTTCCTCTGGACTCCTGGAAGGAAAAGATGCTTTTCCATGCCCATTACAAGAGAGACGGTGTGCGCTGTTGGCAGAGGACCCTGTGTAGAAGCAGCTCTGGCAGCCCTGTGCCATTTGGGGATTTCCCTATACAGACTTATTTTACTGTGGCATTAGGTTGTGGTTTTAACTCCCTTATGCTGGCAGAACAGAACTTGAATCAAAGCAGAAACATGTTTGTTTTCAAGGGACCGAAAGCTCAAATTTTAACCATTCATGCTGATAGAAACAGGGTTTATTCAAACATTCCTGGAATACTACTGAAAACGTTTCCTCTTTTAAGTATTTCATTCTAGTGCAAGGACAAGAACACACAGTGTACATTTCACAACCTAAAGGTTCTTCCAGTAAAGTAAATACAGGTTGAACCAAATGAATTGCTCCTGATGTAACTTGTTAACTATTTCAAGACTGTGTTCTAGAAAATTTAAAAAAAACCCCATACTATGCTTTGCCTATTTTCCATGTGGCTGCCTAGAACTTTTTCCCATTACAAGAAGTTTCTCCCCTTCACTGTTAGAACATCTGGGAGCAAGATACCTTTATTCTCATTGGTAGTATCCCTGCAATCTTCCACAACTGCTGAAATGTCCAGTACCAACCCAACTAACTGCTTCCCATCTGCCACCTGAAAGCCACTGCAGCCATTTCCCAAAAGCAGCAGTCCTTGTTCAGGACAGAAAGTGGCCTCAATTAACCTTAAATCTTATCTTGTCCCTTTGGCATTTCAATAACCTAAAGGAGACAAACTTCCACCTCTGCCTTTGACGAAGAAAAGGATGGGCAGAAGTGGGCAAAATGTTACTATCTGATAGGTATTTTGTTGGGAATCAGAACTTCTAAACCACTCTGCCACATATTAAGAACAAGTTGGGCATTCAACTTTATACCCTACAGCGCTTGTTCCAATTGTTATCGTTCTCTTTTTCCATTATTCGTTACAAAGATTCTCCATCCTTTTTGCCAACAAGAAGTTAAGCAAGTTATTCTTTTTGTGCAAGTCCTGCCAGTCAGAGTCACTGAATCTCTCCTTTGTTTACCAGGTTTTGCATTAAAACTAAAGTCTGAATGTCAAAAAAGAGTAAAATGTTTTTCTCAGAAATGGCCTGTCTACTCAGTAGAAATAACTTCAGAATACCTTCATGAAGTATTGATATCATAGAAAACTACTTACAGTCTCACAAAAATACACCTGTTTTCTCAGCACCTGGAAGTACAGAAGGAGCTTCTACAACAATAAGATGGAATGGGACATATTTTATTAACCTCCTAGAAATGCCTTTGCAGCTTATAGCCCTGTACTAACTAACCTTGTGAAGAACAGATTTCCTAGCATTAATGCACACATATTTTTACTTTAATTTAAAGAGGGAGAAATACTGCTTTGGAAACTTTCTGGTACAGCATCAGTTAGAATGCTGTGGAACTGAAGCAATAAGTGGATACCTCTATTGTGCTTGACTATGTGTAACCAATTACCTTACAAACACTTCTACAGACACAAACCACTATTTCTTTCTCATCCAGCATTTGATCTCTGCAGATGTGTGACATTATGCAAACATAGGAACTGCTCTTCCACCAGGGCAAGCCTGCATTAAAGGAGCAACACATGACTGTGTCAGAACTTACACCTTTAACACCTTCCCTGTACCTCATGCAGATCAATTTTTTCCTAATATATATTCCTCTGCTGCGTTCTAATTTCTGCCTCTTGAAATCATGTGAAGTATCCGACTTTCAAGAAAAGCCTAGGTGCAGAAAGAGCAATAAATGTAAAAAATTCCACTACTGTTCTAAGGACTCAGCAGTTACAGAAGACAGCAGGTCCACTAGAGTCAGAACCCACTGAAATTAAAAAAAAGTTCTTTCCACAGACCATAAAATGCTAAATAGGGCCCCAAAACTCCAGAAATCACACTTGTCACTGGAATAAAACTGTTCAACATGCTTGTTAACCAAGGTGTATTACAGCACAACTAAGGATTAATGCCATGCTTTGAGATTGTTCAGAAGAAGTTCAATCAGGTGTGTTTTCAGTGAAATGATCATGCTGTGCATTTGCTGGCACAGCTTTAAAGGGAGGCAACAGCAAGTGAAGTTTCACAACTGCCTGTGTGCTGCACTCCACATGAAGCACCTGGCATTTAGAAGTAGGTGATATCTGTTCTGTACAAGCCAAAACATCTCAAGCATCACACTTGCACTAATCATCAGATTTGTTAGAGTGCCTACATTCTGCTCAGGCACCGAAGTGCCAGAATTTCAAAGGGGCTCAGTGAGATGGTTGGACAGATATTTTATGCTCTCAGCTTGGAAACTAACCTTCTTACCTTCTCCCCAATGCTCAAAAACATCACAGAAAAATTTCAAAAGGTCATTTTGAAAGACCTCAGTCTTTGGAAATACCTCTCCCCCCCCACCCAAGAAGTAACTGGCTTAAGCAAAGGTTTGTGCACTTAAATTTTGCAACACAATAGCTGAAAGTCGGGAAAGGAAGCCAGAACTCCACTCTGAGGCAATGCCCTGCTATTAGAGTTTTCTGCCTCACAAAATACTGCAGAAAACTGTGCTTCAACTCAGAGTTACATCACCTCAGACCAAGCTATAACTTCCTATTTTATTTACACACGTAACATGAAAGAATGATTGACAACTTTTGGTACTGAGGTGCTTGTTTTCAGTTGGTATTTTAACCCTTATGTTATTGATATTTCTTATTTTACTTCTTGTTTATATAAGCAGAAATGACTAAAAATCGAGAGGCCAAAATAAACTATGAGAGAAAAAGTGCTGTACCGTGATTTCACCTTGGAGAGCCTGTGTGCAAGTGACATTTCAGTGAAAACTACTGAGCAACTTTGTTAAAGGCCAGTCTGAAATGACATCAGACACCTGAAACTGTCCAGATCAACCATCCTCACTTCAAATGTGGCTAATCACCACAAAATCACCACAAAAATTTAGGGCATAAAAAGAAGGAACAAGGCTGAGACTAAATAGGGAAATTGAAAAAGGAAGATCTCCCATCCCGTCTAAAAAGTACTAAAGCAAGCAGGAGAGAAGATGCAAAATAATATTAAAGGGCAGTAGGGCAACAGCTGCAGAGAAACCAAGAAGTAAACATTTCAAAATACAGACATTTATTTTTACAGTATCTTTCCCAGAATTATTGCTGTATCAGCTGCAATGGTGACAAAGCAATTTTTCACTTATGAGCCAACCTCCTTTCCTACAATTTCAAACAGCTTCAGAACTGGTTATGTGGCAGGAGAAGAAGGTAAAATGAGTCATTGCATTTTTCAGACCTGCTACCTGTAATACACAACCAAGTACCTGAAACCCCATAGCACTGATGTGCTACTCAGCTGTGTTCTGTGAGGTGGTTGCAGGTTACACTGCAGATAGTTCTCACAGATGAGTTCTGTCTGAAGGCTCTTCACAGCCTGATCACATCCCACTGACAGAAACTAAGAGGCTTTTTCTCCCAAGACTACTCCTCATTGGAATTTGGAGACTGCAGAGCACCTTGCACTATCCCAGGTTACTTCCTAATAAATCCCAATGAATATACACAGAAAAGCTAAGACACGTTTTCTTTATCTTTGTCATAAGAATTCTGACGTGATGCTATGCAGTGTTCATCCTCAGAAAAGCGGAAACTTAAAAGTCAGATTTTTTCCCTTTATCCTCTCTAACCCGTTAACAACCCTCTAGACCATATACATCGGATTAAAGGGCTTCTACTGTTCTTTATATTATATATTTTTGCCAGATAGCAGCTTAGGCAGTAGTACAATCATCAACAAAGAGGTAGCAAGAATCAGTCAACCTTTGGTTTTGCCTGGAATTGAAACAACCACAAGCCTAGCTCTAGGTCTTTACACTCCCTTATTTAGTAGCACAGACATTTAGCAACTTCGAATGCCTCTCATGAGAACCTTCACATGAAATGGAAAGGTTTTGCCATTCACACATATGTGGCTATGACTCCTTTTTGTACTGCAGGCCAACAAATTGGCTCAGCTGTCCCAAAAACCTCCAGTCCCCTAAGTACATGCCAGAGAGAAAAGGAACTGTGAAGAAAAGACATTTGGCTGAGGGAATCCCACTCCACATGATTGCAGTCTTCAGAAGGCAGCTGAGAAAATCACATAAAAGCAGCTGAAGGAAAGAGCACATTTTTCTATGGCTGCCTCTTGTATCTGTGCTTAGGAAATAGCCACTCCACAAGCAGAATAAAATTCAGCTACAGAAATACTCAGAAACTCCACAAGCAAACTTGAATAGGAGATTTTCCCTCCAAGGTAATGTCACCTTATCTTTAATAACCTTCTAAGACTCTTTCCAGCAATATCAAACAATGTTTCCTTCCCACCCTGGTGACTTAGGTTACTAATATGAAATAAAGATAGCTAAAAGAAAAATACCACAAACTGTTCTGATTAAATGGATTTTTCTGGGTCATGCCTGTTGGTGACAAATGGCACTAAGTTGGACAGCAATTGTGAGTAATGAAGTGGTGTGACTAGCACTGATTTAACCTTTAATTGGCTTGAGAAAATGCCAACTTCTAAAATGCTCAGAAGCTGGTAGTAATTGAGAAAACCAAGTAGTGATGGAAAACAGTTTAACTGTCAGTGAATAAAAACCTTTTCATGTAATGTCCCTCCTATTGGAGCAAAGAGTGTTTTTGAAGATTAGGGCACAGAGGTTCCACTACTGCAGCTACTACAGGTTTTCTATTTGACTACAAGCACAGTGATTTATAATAGCATCCTTCAGCTTCCTTATCTTTAAGTAATATTTTTCAACTTGACACTAAAAAGGTACTCACCTGTTCAGTAAAAGCTCAAAAATAATATAGTAAGCATTGCTTTTGCATAAGTGATCACCTGGTAGCAAAAAGACTATTTTCTATTTTATAACTGTAATTGTCTTACAAGAACTAACTGGACTGCAAACAAAAAAAATCAAGATGAGTCACTGAAAGAAGCAAGGGAACATGCAGATGTTTGTTCTGAAGCTATTCAGGTGGAAAGTGGGTACATCTCAAAAGAAAGGCAGGTCTCTGCCGTAACATGTTTTTTTTCCTAGCTGCCCTACCAAAATATAAAGCAAATGCTTTCAAAATGAGCAACACCACTCAGAAATGAGTGTCTCTTTTTAGTCTTTTATCTCATCCCTGTCTTGCCTCCAGCTTTCCACTTTAGTTCTAAATCTTCCTTTTTTATGTTAATGCCATTATCTCAGCTATTTTGAGTTGCATCATTCCTTCACTTGCACCACAGGTCAGTATGATGCAGAATCTTCCTCATGTGTTTGATCATCCATACTTCTACCTCAAAGATATATTACCAGAATTGGGTCAGAGAGAATTCTGTCCTGAAAGCATCATTTTGGCCAGTGACCTTCCCAAACTAACCCAGATATCATGCAGGTTAGGAAGAAATAAAAAATGTGTAAATTAGAGATCCTTAGTTTTCTGCCTCTTTATTCTAGGGCTAAAAGCCTTAGCAATAAGCCTATTCCAAAAAACTGAGTGTGGGTACAGGTAAAGCCTTGGAAGTCAGGCTAGCTCTGCCTCTGTTCTCAGCTGCAGTGCTGAACCCTAGTCAGACAGAGCCAAGGCAATGTCTTGCTCATGGGGTACCTGAGCAGGGATAGAGCAGAGCTAAGCCTGTTACCTAAAACACTAAGCTTTCCAAAGCTATGGAACTACTGTGAAGCTGCTGATGAGAAGAGCTAGCCTGTCTCACTTGTTACCTGCCACTAGAAGTGCTCTCTGAGAATTTTTGCCTTCCCTCGAGGATGTCCCCTCTCCCTGACTTTCCTGGCAGTGTGTACACATACCAAAGTGCCTGACTGTCTTCACTAATGGTGTTTCCCCACTTCCAGAGGAGTCCGAGAGATAAACGTACCTACGTGTCAGACTCTCAGATAAGAGGGGTGAACCTGCAGAAACATGAAAAGAGGCACTGACACATGGCCACTCTTCCTGGCTTCTCCCCCCAACTGTATTCATTTGTTTTTGAGGGAAAATATGTTCTTCAGCCTTGGAAAAAAAAATCTGGCACAGTGAAGCACAGCAAATCACAGAGCCTTATGCACAGCCAGACTAATACTTTGCTCAGTTATACTATTCTCTGCTTGCAATAGCTACACCTCATTGCATCAATCTGTAAGAACTTCCAATAAGTTCAAAAAGTTTAATTTTCAAAACCAAAACCCCATTCTTTTCTTTTTACAATCTCCAGTCTTCCAAAACAACTGCACTAATTCTGTTAAATAGGCAAGATAGTAAAAACAAAGTATTTGAAAGTCTTTACAATCTATGAATTGAAGGTAACAAACCATCACTAATGCTCTACTGACTTCAGTAACTCGCTACTGTACAGGAGAAGTGCACAACTACAACTACAGAATGCTGTTGGCTGTACAGAGACATTGCTCTGATGACAAGAGCCATGTTCTTCTCTGAACAGACTGCACTGTAGCTGCACTTACTGAGGGCCTAATCAGCAGTTACAGCTCACTACGCACATGGCTCTCAGAACAGTGTATAAAGGTGTTTCCTGTTTTTCTCGGCTAAGAAAGAGGGTTTGAATCACAATCAAAGCAAGAAAAAAAAGCCAAGCCTTTTCTGTGGTAAAGCAAAAGAGGAATCCCTCCTATAGTTGAGAGCAACTTTGCAATTTGAGACACAATAACTCCAAAACTAAACTGATGGTAGGAGACAGCCATGAATATAAAGACTGTTGAAAGAAATTATAAACTTTCACCACAACTCTAAATCACAGGCTGCTCTTTTGTAAGATACACCTCACTTGCTGTTTGCACCTGTACTGATAACAAAGGAGCAATGAAGAGTTAAACATATAACTGGTTATCATCTGTCTGGTAATACGATCACTATTTCCTAAATGCTTTATATGACAACAGGAATGAGAAGGCAGCCCCTCCCAAGCCAGAGAGGAAAAGGGGACTAATGCCAGAGTTTAAAAAACAGACCACGTTTCCTTCATAGTCTGTTCCCTTCAGCATGGGATAAGGAAATAAAATAGTAAACTAATCTCCAAAACTCTGCATAAGTGAAAAACTTTATGAATTGTTTGTAATATACTCCCAGTTAGTTTTCTGGTCTTTCTTTCAAGGAACCTAGAAGTTCTGTACTCTTCCTTCCCATGCCTGGCTGGAGTTGTGGGGGAAGGAAACTTTCAGAAAATTAGGAAAACTCTTTGGGCTTCGCATCTTCCTTCTGAATGAACGTAAGAGAACAGTAAAAAAGATAGTGACCAGTAGAAACTACTTATCAACAGTCAGATAGCAGAAGCAAACTTTCCACTACCATGAAGCCAAAAGGGGAAAGAGAGAGCCCCAGCCCCAACTCCTGTGTTACCCGCCCCAGTAAGTGCAGTCATGCGGCAGCTGCCATCTGTCTCTGCATGTACATTTTAGACACCAAGAAACTTATTTCCGTCCTAAAAGATAATTTTGCCCAAGTCTTGCAGCAGTAGGCAGGTATCACTGAGAAAGGGCTCACAGGAAGAATTATATAGAGTGTGAATGCTATGCTGTGTTTCCTTTAGCATTAGCATTCACCTCTTGGAGCAGGTGTCAATGCACTGTTGTTGAACTGCCAGATCAGACACGGCTCTCAGATTTCTAATCAAAGCCAAAGATAATACTCAACTTATTGCAACAGATTTTCTGCTGTTGGACAGCATTGTTAGTTCAATGGCATTTGGAGTACTGGAGTTTGTCAGGGGAAATTTGATGGTACCAGTTGTTTGCTGAAATTAAAACAAATTTTGTTATTTTATGTACAGCTAGGAAGGAATTCCTCTTTCAGTGATGAAAAGTTATTGTTCAAACCCTCAACTCATCTGTAGTACATTTACATTGCTGTGCTTGGTAAAGTGGGAAATTGGTTTGGCTGTTCCCAATTCTGAACCTTGAGAGGGCAGGTCCTATGTTAAAGAAATGAATGAAAACAAGAGGGGGAAACTTCATCTAATTTATATGTGATTAGTTATGATTCATACACTGCCATAACATTTTTCATGCAGGAAAAGTAGTAATGGACCTATACATGTGTAAAAGGAACTATTTTCTTGGGGAGCACTAGACCTTTTCTACTTTAGCCATTCAAGATGCACAAAAACTGTAATTTGTTTGACGAGTCCTTGGCTGGGCAAATCCCTCCTCTCTCATCAGATGGGCAAAAGTGGAGATAGATTGAACTTGGAGAGAAAGAATGCAATCATATATGAGACTTTGGAATTAGTTATGAGTTGAACATATAGACAAGCTTGTGCATCTGTTTCTTTTATGACAAGACCAGCATACTTCTCAACAGGATAACAACCTTATTTAAGAGTAAACTTATCAGGTGACCATGAGTAATACAAGGAAGCCAACATGAGTGAAGTTTTATCTGCAAAATAACCTTAAATATCAGGGTCTCCTGGGGCAGAGGAAGGTTAGAAAGCAGAGAAGAATAAAAGTGTTACTACTCATTTTCATATGTGCTCGTCAAAAGGGACTTTTTCTGACATGTTGCATGCTGAAAAGGAAGTGTTAACAAATTCTGCTACGGATCTTCAAAGCTGAGACTGGAGCATGAACTGCCACAGCAGTAAAAGAGCTCACCAATTCTAAGCTTAGCAGTTGAGAAATAATATATATGTATATACAAAGTATGCATATATATAATATATGCATATACAAAAATGTTACCTGTAAACCACAGCAGCCCACTGCATTCATTATTGAAGCATTATGAATGACCTTGTAAGGAATCCCCAATTTTACTGCACGTAGTACTAAATCACTGTGTGTTGTGGCCCTGTGTTAAGAAAAGAAAGGAATTAAAGATTGAAAAGATGGAAGTTACCAAGTGTTACTAGCATAATAGTTTGTTTTGAAAGTGAAATTAAACCCTTCACAACAAGGGCAATGCAGAGGAGACAATGGCGACAATATCCTGACCAATTGTTACAGGAAAGTAAAAACTCCGGTAAGGTTTCCATATGTCATCTTCCCTAGCTGAAATCACAGGCATCTTCAGTATATTACAGTTCTTTGCAGCTTTCTGGCATCATTAAAACTGTAACACGAATACAACTGTTACTTTATAAAGTAGCTTTGGCAAGTACTTGAAAAGGAAAGCTCCATTTATCCTTTGTCTTCTGCAGGTATCTGTGGAACATGTGTTGAACTGTAAAGGTCAACTCTATTTGGCACAGACTTCCACAAAACTCCAGTACTGCACAGCCGGGCCCTCTCCCATCTGCACCAGCACGTGCCAGGAAAGCAACACAGTCAGACAAGAACTCCGAATGCACAGGGGTGAACTGCAGGCACTACTTAGAAAAAACATCCTTAGACTAAATCACCTTTCATAAGATTTAACTCAAATTAACAATGCCTAAATCTGAGTGATCAAGTTTAATCTGAAATACTTAAGAAAATTCTAGTTAAGTTTCAGACTGAGCTAAATTTGGCTCCAGGTCTAAGACTCAATAAACACCTTGCAGTGAGTGACTACTGCAAAAATCACTGGGCTTATAGTTATGCAATTGAGATTAGAGCCCTTCTAAAATGATAAGTACATAGAGATCAAACAAATCTTTTAATTGCAACGATGTTTACATGTGTATTTGCTCGCATGCGTGCTTATATCATTCCCAAGATGTACCACAAATTTCTGTGTGGCAGTTCCAAAGAAGGAAGGAAAGGAAGAAATAGCATATGCCCATCAGAACAATGAACTAGGAAAACTGCTTTCACCCTGGCCTTGTGCAGTTACCCTCACAGAATTCCCCTGAATTTAGTCTGATAATTTTGACCCTGTGTGTCTGACCAGCACCAGTCAGCAGGTGCTCCAGATTGGAACACAAATATGGCAGCAGCTGGCAAGGCTGTAAAGATCAATAATTTTAAAAGAAAAATCAATTCACTGAAAGAAAAAAAAAATGAGGAATCTGAATTTGATAACTCTGAGGCCCTTATACAAATAGGCTCCCAGACCTGGGAGAATGCAGAAAAATGATCTAAACCAAACACTTTAGTTAGTAAACAAACACTGCTCCTGATTTCCATAAGCAAAAGTGATTTAAGAATGTCTGATCTAAGAGAAGAAGTTTTACAGCCTTATGTTATTCCCTTCCCCTACAAAGGACGAGGAGCACTGCAGGATTTTGTGGTTATGCTAATACTGACCAAGGGATCAGCTGGCTTTATTCACTAAAATTTGCTCCAGCCACTATTCTCTCCCAGTAGATCTATCTATAATGACTGTAGCTAAAAGCAGAAGTGCCCTCATGAGTACTCAGCTAATGCCAGCAAAGGCTTCATGGAGTCAGCCCTCTGCACCCAAAACTATAGTAGTATTTTCTGTCACTGATACAGATTTTAAGTTTTATGGGTAGTAATAATACAAATATTAACACCAGCCTAGCGTGGTGGGCTTTCCACTGTTCCACGGAAATTGCCAGGTTCCTGCAAGCACATCCAGAGCTGTTACCACACACGCAGATAAAAACCTGCAGTGAACACAGTGAGGAGGATGAGGGGGCACAGCTTGCTTTATTGCTTTAGCCATTAACCACCACCACTTGAGATTTCCTAAGGCTGCCAAGTACTCTTCTTACCTGCAAAGAGACTGGAAACTCTATGATCAGCTGCAGTCACATGACTTCTATCATCCTTTCCTCCCCTGTGGCTTCTCTTAGGACAGAAACCTTCAGTACTCTTTCCTAGTAACCTCACAAACCCCTAAATCCTTAGGGCTCTATGTGGGCACAGGAGCAGTTCTAGCTGCACTATTAAAAGCTAAGAACATAAACATTTAGAGAGAAGCAACTCCCTCAAAAAAAAGGTAGTTTTCTACAAGTATGTAGTTCATTAACCAGAACTGAAGTATTTTGACACTGAAACTATTGATAACTGAGACAGCTCAAAATACTGCTTACAAGGGTACAGGTAATGTAGCTCTACGCTCTACATGAATCCTAATTTCAGTGTAAACATGTACTGCAAGTATAATTAATATTTCTGAAATACAGGATCATCTGCCCATAATAACTAGCTTAATATAATATTCTCTTGCCAATTCCCTTCAACCTGTATTTACATAAATTATCTGCTTTTGACAGATGTGCACACCGCTTCTCTTTTTCATAAACTCTCTATTTTTTCACTCACAAATAAGGTGCTTAGTGATTTGATTTTTCCTGTGCCCCTTAACACTGTGGTATAAATCTTGAATCACCAGCTGGAGACTAAAAGCTCTTCTGTGTGGCTTGACAACACAGATTGATGATGCCTGACCAAAGAGACAGAAGGAGATCCTTCTGGTGATAGAAAAAGACTATACTTCTCAGCAGGAATAAAAAGTGGAAACAAAAGGCTTAATAGACCAACATGAGAAGACATGTATAACGACATAAGTGATTTAAAAAACTGGCCTATATCAAAGCAGAACCACTGTACAACCAATAATCTGTATTCATTCTAAAACAACTGAGCATAAAAGCTGCAATTTATAAGTACAAACAGAAACTAAAAGAATACTCCTCCAAAACAGCACATTTCTTAATTATGGGATATCCTAAAATTTCTTCTGTTAGCAAACAAAACATGAAACAAAATAGTAATTGTAAATTAATAGAGAATAAAATTATAATGAATGAAATTATAAGTGTGTGCTGAAGGAAAGATTCATGCATCCACATTCCTATCTATAAGAAACATCTGGGCAAGAAAACTCCAAAGCAAGATAAAGTGTAGGCAATTGCATGTATATTTGTAATACAATAAAGGGTATGCAGACATAAAAAAGTGCTTCTGGTCTGAAAATCAGCTTCTTCATAAAGAATTACAGTTACGGAGTTGGCTTCTTCCTATTGAAAAAAAGAGTTATCAAGCTAGAGCAATAATTCAAAAGTTGCTTTATCTTACCCAAAAGGATCCCCAACTACAAGAAAAGCGACATCACAAACATCAGCTTCTTTTAAAAGGGTATCTGCTTCTTGCTCCACCATTTCTCGGTCGGCCAAAATCAATTCTTTTCCATAAAACTCTTCCTAGAAATTGAAATTAATATTAAGCATCAGAATAATACAGTTAGGAGTGGTTTTGTATCTCTCTGGGTGCTCACTCAGGAACATGGATAATGGACACTGGAATAGCTAACTTTAATATTCTCCCCAGCAGTCTGCCCCAGGTCTTGGAGAACCTCACCCCAACTTGGCAGAATGCCCGAGCTTCCCATAAAGCAGCTCCTGAGCTGATAAAAATCAGTCAAACACTTTATTCTGATACTGACTTCTTTTTTTTATGTCTTCTGTGTCAGCTGAGAAGCTGCCCCACAAGTAGCTCAGTCACACCTGCATTCTGAAGGTACCTGGCTGGGCTCTTGGTACAGTTAATTCAACTGGCCATCGTACTGTCAGGCATCTCCCCTCACAGTCTGAGCCTAACTGCTTAGCTTAGTTATAATTCTGACGTCAAACCAGATACAAACACCACACTAGCTATACCACGACCTGTTTTTTCAGATTTTTCCTTAGAACATTTAAACAAACCACATCTAAAGAATGATTTCATATTAATCCTTCGCCTTCAGAGTTCTCTTTAAGAAATACTTTACCATGTATACAGGTGAAGATGCATTTGTTCATTTCCTTCACTTTTCCTCAGCAGCTCAGTAATCATTGTGTCTCTTTGTATGTTTTAAGTGCCTTTATTTCCCGAATCGATTTCACATATGTAATGAAACTTCAGTTAGTTCTAGAACATATTGTCTGACCATACTGAACACATCTGTCTCTAAGTCATGTGTCACCATGCATTTCACATCCTCTTTACATTTTAAGGTATATTTTCCAAGGCAAAGACCAGAAAAGCTGTTTTTGTTCTAAGTAGTATACAGAAAACTTGGGTGGAATTGTGAATAGTAACCAATATAAATAAAGAATTGATAAAACTATTAAGTCATTTATGGCCCAGAAAGAAATTTTTATGACTTCTGTGACTGTGCCCACAAAGGACAGTGAATTGATGAGAGAACCATCATACTTGTACAGAAGTGGAGCAGTGCTTCCATAAAAAAATCCATCCCATAGCCAGAGTACTAGGTATGGGACTCTATAAAGCAAAGCCCTCGGTAACACCACATCCATTTGGGTGGGCTTATCATTGCACCAGGCTGACTTTAGTCCAATGCTGTAAACAAATGCACACTACAGAACATATTGGGTGCAGTCCCAGGAGCACACCTTTGTTTGTTTTCATCCAAGGGAATCTATTTGCATGCTTTGAGACTACTCCACAATGCTAATCAAAGCATGCTAATTAGAGAATATATAGAAAGCACCCTCCTGGCAATGTAGACTCACTGGGAGGCCACTGGGTCCACACAGTTCTTTCACCAAACTAAGGGCCAATTTAGATGGTCAACATCAAATAGCTTTAAATACATGTTTTAGGCCAACAAGATAAACTAAGCAAGTCATGTCACTTGAGTTTTGAGGCCTGATTTTAAAAGCATCAGTATAGAAGGATTTCCAGAAAATTTCTGCAGGAAAGGATCTGTTCTTTACTTTTTGAGAGCTTTCCCATAACTTTTCATGCTGCTTAGGAGAGATTGACCTTCAGATCACTAAATAAACCATCCAGCATTGTCACTTGTCTGCAAACTGGGCTGTATTATAAACACTTGGTGATTAATTCCTGTATTTCCTCTTAGGTGGTTTCAGATAAGGTATCTTTTACTTTGTTTTTATTGATCACTTTTTCCAGTTATCTCATCTTTGGGACTTCAAGGTTTGCAAAAGACTTAAAAGAATAAAAAAATGTAACAAAAGCCCCCAAAAACCAACAAAATAACCACACCAAAATATTCAGCATTTCTCCATTATTCAATGTTTTATTTTCAGATGGCTAGGAATTCTTTTTTTTTGAGAGAGAGAAAATGCAAATTTTGTGAAGTAAAAATACCCAAGTAATCTTTTCCATTTAGCAATTTTCCAACTATCAAACAACAAAGAACATTTTGTTTTAATGGACTGACTACAATTTAGATTGCTTCAGTGTACTGAAAAGAAACATAAAAACACACATCATATCTTCATTCCAAAATACAGCAGATAAACCAGAGACGGCCTCAAATATTCTAGCCTACCTTGTATCCAGAACCCATGTAATGCTGACTACAAGCTAAAAGTCTCACATGCTGTATGTATATACAGGTATGCATACAGGTACATTATGGCTATACAGCACCCAAGACCCAAACAGCATCTCTGTACAGTACTGCACAGCTTCCCGGGAGGAGACATCCCTGTTTTGTGGGCAGGTATGGTCTTTTGTTGGTATTATTTTGACATTAAACTTCATCTTTCTGTGACCACCTATGAACCCATCAGAGTTACAATTTGTACATTTGACTACTGTTGTCTTCTGTAAGGTTTGTTTATCTCCATGTTGTTCAACAGCCCATCTCTGACTGAACTGTACCTGTTCTGGGAGTCTCAACCTGGTGAGACAGCTTGGCCCACGTGGAAACATGGAAACATAAGACAGTCAACTTGTTATTCCCAGTAGGCAAGCCACAACGCCTCAGGCTGATATTGAGGCCCAGGGCTTCAAAACGTGTTTTATTCTGGTATGTCTTTTGGGCTTTTTTTGTTTTTAAACAGATCAGACATTTTTCTAACCACGTTCTCCACGATCTGCACACATTGGGAGAATTTGAGATGAAAACCAGTACAAAGAGTTGAAGGAAGGAACATTTTATTTTTGCCGCAGTCTTCTCGCAAGGTAGCAAAGCAACATCTCCTATAAAACGTAGTGTGTGACGGTCACGTACCTCTTCCTCTCCGCTGACCCCCCAGCCCCAGCGCCCGCCTCGCCCCGCGGTCCGAGAGGCCTCGGGCCCCGTGGCCGGACCTACCAGCGCTTCCTTGCCCACAGTGAGCACGGACGTGTAGGCCTCCAGGTACACCCTGCGGCACCGCCTCACCGCCTCCAGCCCCTTCACCGTGATGTCCTTGGCATCGCCCAGGCCCAGCCCGACCAGGTACAGCATGTTCGGGGGGCCGGGCAGAGCCGCCACCTGCCACGGGAGGCAAAGAGAACAGGGATCAGCCGCGGCACTCCATGGCCCGTCGTGACCCGGCCCCATGGGCAGGGGGACGGCCCAGCTCCCACCTCCTCGTATCCCGCCTCCCACCTCCGCGCTCCCGGCCCCCACCTCCGCACTCCACTCCCACCTCCTCGTGTCCCGGCCGCCCCTCCGCGCTCCCGCCTCCCGCCCGGCTCCCGGCTGTCCGCGGCGCGGGCGCAGGGGCCGCCGGGAGCTGTAGTTCCGGGCCATGGCGGCGGCAGGCAGGCCCAGGCCAGGCGCCGGCCCCACAGTGCCGCTCGCCAGCGGCCGCAGCATCCCGGTGCTGGGGCTCGGTAAGTGGCGGCGGGCCCGGCCGAACCCGCCTCCCTGCCAGGGGCGTTGTGAGCGGGCGGGGGTCACCGCGGGGCCCGGCTGGCCCGGCCGGCCCGGCAGGTTCGGCGCTGCCTTTGGCCCGCAGCCGGGCTCGCCTCGGGGCAGCTCGGGCTAAGCCTCCTGCCGAGCTGCCCGTGCCGAGCCGGGCAGGCCCGGGGCTCCTCCGAAAGCCCCTTTATTGCCCGGTGGAGCTTCGTGCTCCTGCTGAATGGGACCAGCAAGGCGTGCTGGGACACGGGTGCTGTTCTGCGGGGACAGCAGCCCTCGCCTACCCCGGGGCGTTGTGCCGCGGTTTGGTGTTTTGGGTGTGTTTTCTTACGAGGTTTGGGAGCAGACTTTTCTTAGTGCAGACTTTCAAGCCAGGGTTAATCTTACTGCACCTGTTGCAGCTGAGAACCAGCATAGGAATCTCGGCTCGTGAGAGGCACAGGGCCTGTGCCATGTGGTTGTAGCAGCACTTGGCCTGTGTGTGTTGAAGAATTAAAATGCTGTTAAACGCTGGCAGTGTATCAGAATCTGGGGTGTGATTATTTTTATTTTTTATTATTATTTCTTTTTCTTATTGTAAACTAAGGTTTGATGACATTATACTGAAACTTCACAAATGTGTGGTTTTGGTTGTTGCTCATGCAAATGTGTATGACGTTTTTAATATGTTTTTAGGAGAAAAAATATGCCTGGAAATATGAAAATGCAAAAGGGAATTAACTTTTTTATAATTTACATTTAATTTTATCATCAGTTGTTTAGTGAGAAATTCTTAAAGAATCCATTTTCTAAAATGTAAACATGGGGAAAAAATTAAAAGTCATTTTAATACCGCATTAGTTGTCTGAATTAACGCTAGTTCAGGAAAGCTATTGCATTTAGTCCTAGGAAAACAAGGCTATGTGCTAACCAGAATACGATCCTGCAATGAGAACTTAGGTATGAAAACATTTGAAATTTGAAAGTTGGGGTTTTTTTCTCTCCCCCCCGCCCTCAACAAGCAAAATGTGGTATAAACCCAAGGTTGGCTTGCAGCAGAATGCTCCTTTTAGTTGTATATAGGAATGTCAGGTTTATACTATCCTGAATTACAAATTCATCTAATTAGTGGATTTGCTAATTGTTCAAAAGAGTCAAACTATTAAATTATTGAAGGCCATTTTCCAAGTCGACATAGGGCCGTGTGAGCAGGAGAGGGTTAATAACTAATTCTGTGGTGCCAGAGCCCTGCCCATGCTGTAGCACAGCAGATAAAGAGACTGTGAACTCTCCTAAAACAGGAGCTGTAGCAGAGCACCTGGAAGGTGTGCCACAGAGAGGCAAACATGGACCATACGCACACCAATGACCATTGCACACTTGGCCAGAGCATTCTGGGTTTCTTTGAATAACTGTCTTTTTATATAGCTGACATTAATTAATTTTTATGTCTTGTAAGGAGTTAATTTATCTCTTGGTTAAAACCTCCTATTTGGAACAGTATTTGAGCCTCTCTTTCTTTCTCTTCTTAAGACTCTTTCCAGAAGTCTCTTTGATTCATAACATATTCTAAAACATGAATACCCTTCCAAGTTAGTCTTTCATGATACCATTTTATCATGGGTAAATTCAGTATCCCAGATTTTCCAGTTTTTTACATAAACATACAAATCAAAGGCACCGGTGTTCTTTGTGACACTGGAGTTAATCAGTCACACAAGTATGGAGCTAAGCTATAAAATAGAATTGCCCTTGCCTTGTGCTCTTTTTGTCTTTATCTTATGAATGTGAACTGACTTCAGAGCAATTATTTAGGATTTTCATTAGTATGAAGGAAGGCAAAATTAGAGCTGTGGATTTTAGAGTGAATTAAGCCACTTAAGTCAATAGGAGTTGGTCTTTGATTTTAATAGGGCTGAGTTTTTATCCAGAAAGGCTAAGGAGATAAAGCTTGTAATGCTTGTTTCGAAGTATCCAAAGTTATTTGAGCTGCACATAACAAAGTCTGAGCAATTCACCATCATCAACCAAAGATTAAAAAAAGAAAAGAATTTGGAAGTCTGCAAAATGTTGTTAACTGCTTTTACTGTGTGTTTTTGTGCATGCATATATTCATAAACATGTGGTATGTGTTTACCCAGTGTATGAATTTACTATTTTAGTATCTGTTAATCTTAATACTTGATGCAGCTGTCCCTTACACAGTCATTATGTAGAGAGCAAAAGGGCCTGTGTTGTTCAAAATTGCTATTTTTTTTTGTTTTGCTGTTTGGTTGGTTGGTTGGTTTTTTGAGGAGTTGGTTGGTTTTTTCTTTTAACTTGTAACACTTTTTCCACTTTAGTTCACTTGGGGATTTTTTATAAAATTAAAGAAAACATAAATAGTAGAGAATGGACTTGGTTCTCTTCTCTCTATTGTTTCAGTATATGCTGAACGGTGTTTCAGACTATATACAGAATAGATTTTTTTTTTTTTGTTGGAGGTTGTAATATTTCTTAGGTTATGGGAAGAATAAACTGACTAGAAGGTAGCCAGGCAGAAAGACTCCTTTGTATTCTGCACGCAAAAGCTGCTGCTCTCTGTCCTATCGCCGTCTTGGTAAGTCCTGAGTTGTCTGTTGTTAGGCCTGAATTCAAACTGCAGTAAATGGATAGTGGCATACAAGAGAATCAAGTTTGAATTTTTCTGACCCAGTTATTTCTGTCAGATATGGCTTTCAAGGAGCTGCTCTTGATTTACAGTGGTGGTGGTGTCACGAGCTGCAGGATTTGATTCCTTGACTTCACCTATCTATTCTTGTCTTGCTGTAGTAACACTTGACATATTGCTTTATATATTCTGCAGATCTTGGAGAATCTTGTAATAGATAGGAGTCAAACGGGTCATTTTAAGAAATCCTTACAGATGCTTCAAAACACTGAGAATTTTAGAAAAGAAGGGAGGAAAAAAAGTTCAAGGCTGGCCACCCTCGCATTTGTGGTCAAGCTATAAGTACCACGATATGCAGCCTAATACAATGGGATCTTTAAGTGGGTGTTCTCACTTCACTATTATTTTCCATATTAATGATTTATTTTTGTTCCAGGCTTTCTGATTAACTAATGTTTGCAGCGCAGAAACTTGGCTATAAAGTAGAGAAGAATTTTCTTCAAAGAGGATGCATTTTCTGCAAGGCTATTTTCTGCAGGATTTGAAATTTGTTTGGTTGTCATTTCTTATCCCTCTGAACATGCAGACATCATTGTTATATGTTCTCTCAAAGACAACTTTCATAGATATGTATGTTGCCTCTATTGCTAGATCATCTTTCTAAAAGCTTCAGAGAGAGAAATATGCTGTTAAGATGGTTTCAGCTATGCAGTTGTGTCAACTGGAAGACAGCTCAGACAGGTATGCAAGTTACTTCCAAGTGATGAAACCCCTTTTGTAGTAGCTGAGAGCTGAAGTAGGGGACAGGTAACATGCTTCTTGGCCAGAACATGTTACTCAAGAGAGTGCAACAGCAGCCTAGGATGGCATTCTGCCAAAAATACCTGTTCTTTCTGTTCAAGCTTCAGTTATCAAAAGGTTTTTGTGGTGGTGTTTTTTTAGTTGGGTTTCCTTTTTTTAAATGGGTTTCCATGTCACAGCTGCTTTGGCTTCCAGATTTGTGTAGGAGAAGTTCAGTAAGTTGGTTTGATGCAAAAGGGGAGACGAGAGGAAGGATGTTAAGTGGTCTTTCAGTAGGTTACCGTTCTTTCTGGCGCTCTGCGCTCTCTTACACAAACTGTTCTTACTGTGGAGGATCCATTTCCATTGAAATCTCCTATGAGAAAGATGAATTTTTACTTCAGAGAAGGCCGTGGAGCTTGCAAAAGTTATGTTCTGTCTGAAGGGTTACTTGGAATAACATGCCAAATTCTGTATATCCAAAATTCCATATTTACTTCGATGCATATTCATATTGTGTTTTATCTGTCTTGTGTCCAGCAGAAAGACAAGTCTACTAGCAATGATAAAGCAAGCTGACTTTCCTGAGATACCAAACAATTATAAGACAACCCACCTTTGTGTTAGAAATATGTTGTATAGCTAAAGTTTTAATTAAAAAATAAAAATAATCTGCATCCTGTTTATTGCATGATTATAAAAAGTGTTGGTAACTTTATGTTTCTCATGGTTTAATTCTAACATTTGTGTTAGCCCATATTATTCATGTGTAGAGAGTCAGGCAAGTTTACGGTCAATTTTCATTACAAAGGCTGCTTTAAACTGGGGTAGGCTCAAGCCTAAAATGAATTGGCATTTTGGCCCTAATATTTGTATGGTGTCAAACTATACAATAGCTCATAATGGCTTTAGATTGCTTTAGAAAAAGGATGTATTCACTATCTTGCTAATAAGATAGCTATAATTTCTTTCCATGTTTTTAAGGCTTTATTAGTGTTTTAGAAATATAGACAAATAACTGATATAAAATGTGATGCTGCTTTGAAGTTGATGTAGTTACACTTTTTCATAGGAGCTACATGTATCTTAGAATCAGGTACTTGGAGAGCATTTGTACAATAGTAGAAAACTACATATTCTTACATTGTCTTAACTGCAGGATACTTGATGCTTCTCTAAAGCAGCATTCTCAAAAATGGATCACTCCTCAAAACGGTGCACACAGTATCATCCCCATCAGGCTTTGGAAAACAATGAATACAATTTGAATTGTTCACGCTTACATGCTTACTGCTGCTAAGCAGGAAGCCCCCACTTAGAAAGTTGTCCCTTTTTTTTTTTTTTTTGGTTAAAAGTCTGAGGGGTGAAAATGCTACCATTTAAAGCATTTGATTATAATTCAGTAGCACAAGGGCTTTTCTTCCTGTAACTGAAATATTAGGAAGCTTTTTCAAGGTCATGTGCTGAGTGGTTGACGTCTCTTAAGGCTTGTTTTGGCACTTTTTATTGAAACTGTCTTCATGCCCTTGATATGGTAGTTATATTCCCATTAGAAGAGGGTTT